GTGAGTCACTGTGTCCCTGTGAGTCACTGTGTCCCTGTGAGTCACTGTGTCCCTGTGAGTCACTGTGTCCCTATGAAACACTGTGTTCCTGTGATCACTGTGTCCCTGTGACTCACTCTGTCCCTGTGAGTCACTGTGTCCCTGTGAGTCACTGTGTCCCTGTGATCACTGTGTCCCTGTAATCACTGTGTCCCTGTAATCACTGTGTCCCTGTGAGTCTCTGTGTCCCTGTGATCCCTGACAGCTGTGGGCTCACTGTGAAGGACAGGGCTTAGCACTGAGAGGGACAGACGACAGCTGAGACTTTGTTAAAGCTCAGGTCTGTAACTTCAGCCTCATCAAAAACACATGTTTAAAGCTCAGGTCTGTAACTTCAGCCTCATCAATAAAATATGTAGTTTGTCCAAAATAAAAAGTATTTTGATTATTTAAAAGCGTGTAATCCCTCACGGCTCCAGGGGGGGCGCTCTGGTTCTTCTGAAGAAGAGGGGGGAGGGGGGGGTCTGGAGCAGGGCCAGAGTCTAAAGGTCCAGCTCTAAATTGAGACTGGATCAAAACCAGGATTAAGATCAAGATGCAGACTTGTCCTTGGGCCGAGGTCAGGGATGGTCCTGTTTTTAGGACGAGTGGGACACGTGTTTGTGAGACAATCTCTGCGATGATCATGTGACCTCAGCCTCGGGTCTGGACCCTCGGTCTCAGTCTGGTCTCTTTAAGAAATTTGGTCCACAGCCAGGTCCTCCACCAGGTCCTCCACTACCTAATGGGCCTGGAGGACCTCCTCCACCTCTACTCTACTCTAACCTACCCTACCCTACCATACTCTACTCTACTCTACTCTACTCTACTCTACCATACTCTACCATACTCTACTCTACTCTACTCTACTCTACTCTACCATACTCTACTCTAACCTACTCTACTCTAACCTACTCTACCCTACCCCACTCTACCCTACTCTACTCTACTATACCCTACCATACTCTACTCTACCCTACCCTACTCTACCCTACCCTACCCTACCCTACTCTTCCCTACCATACTCTACTCTACCCTACTCTACTCTATCCTACCCTACTCTACTCTACCCTACTCTACTCTACCCTACCATACTCTACCCTACCATACCCTACTCTACCCTACTCTACTCTACTCTACCCTACCATACTCTACTCTAACCTACTCTACCCTACTCTACCCTACCATACTTTACTCTACCCTACTCTACTCTACCCTACCCTACTCTACCCTACCCTACTCTTCCTTACCATACTCTACTCTACCCTACCCTACTATACTCTACTCTACCCTACCCTACCCTACTCTACTCTACTCTACCCTACCATACTCTACTCTACCCTACGCTACCATACTCTACTCTACCCTAACCTACTCTTCCCTACCATACTCTACTCTACCCTATCCTACTCTTCCCTACCATACTCTACTCTACCCTTCCCCACTCTACTCTACTCTACCATACTCTACTCTACCCTGCCCTACCCTATTCTACTCTCCCCTACCCTACCCTTCCCAACCCAACTCTACCTTACCCTACCCTACCCTACTCTACCTTATCATACCCTACCCAAGCCTAACCTAACCTACTCTACTCAACCCTAATCTACTCTACTCTACCTTTCCATACCCTACCCTACTCTACTCTACTCTACCTCACCATACCCTTCCCTACCCTTCTTTACCGCACCATACCCTACCCTACCCTACTTTACCTCACCATACTCTACCCAACCCTACTCTACTCTTCTCTCCCCTACACCCTAAGCTACTCTACCCTACCCTACACCCTACCCTACTCTACTCAGACTCCTCCAGTCCTTCTTGGTCCTGGTTCTATTCAGGCCGAGCTGGTACTAAAGCAGGTTTCTCCAACCTCTTTCACACAGAGAGCTACTGTCCCGTGACAATAAAGGCAGAGAGCTACTGTCCCAGGACGATACAGGCAGAGAGCTACTGTCCTGGGATGATAAAGACAGAGCTACTGTCCCAAGACAATAAAGGCAGAGAGCTACTGTCCCGTGACAATAAAGGCAGAGAGCTACTGTCCCAGGACGATAAAGACAGAGAGCTACTGTCCCGGGACGATAAAGGCAGAGAGCTACTGTCCTGGTATGATAAAGACAGAGAGCTACTGTCCCAGGACGATAAAGACAGAGAGCTACTGTCCCGGGACGATAAAGGCAGAGAGCTACTGTCCTGGGATGATAAAGGCAGAAAGCTACTGTCCCAGAATGATAAAGGCAGAGAGCTACTGTCCAGGGACGATAAAGATAGAGAGCTACTGTCCCGGGACGATAAAGGCAGAGAGCTACTGTCCCAGAATGATAAAGGCAGAGAGCTACTGTCCCAGAATGATAAAGGCAGAGAGCTACTGTCCCAGGACAATAAAGACAGAGAGCTACTGTCCAGGGACGATAAAGACAGAGAGCTACTGTCCAGGGACGATAAAGACAGAGAGCTACTCCGTTGGGTACAGTTATAATTTATCATCACATATTTGTTACTTGTGACAAAGTGCATTTACTTTGATAAATAATGACAATGAAAAATACAATCTGAAATATTAGGATTTGATTTGTTCATTTCTAAATTATTTGTAGGGTAAAGTAGAGCAGGGTAGAGTAGGGTAGAGTAAGGTAGGTTAAGGTAGGGTAAGGTAGAGTATGGTAGAGTAGGGTAGAATAGGGTAGGGTAGGGTAGGGTAAGGTAGAGTAGGGTAGGGTAGGGTAAAGTAGGGTCGGGCAGGGTAGGTTAGGGTTGGGTAGGGTAGTGTAGAACCAAGTAAGGCTGGTGGAAACGGGGCTTCCCTGTTCTCCACAGGGTGTTTACTGTTATGCAGGTGAAAGCCAGATCCCTTCAGACTTCTGAACTAAGCAGGGCAGGGCCTGGTCAGTACCTTAATGGGAGACCTCTAGCAACACTAGGTGCCAAAGCGGGGTGGCTGTAAAGTGCCAGTGTGCCCCAGGGCAGCTGTGGCTACAGTAGTAGTTTATCACCACTGTGCTGTGAAGGGTCTTTGAGCGTCCAAAAAACATTGTATAAAACCCAATATTACTAGTACTTTTACAACTACGACTACTATTACTACTACTACTACAAGTATAACTACAAGGCAAGTTTATTACAGCACAGTTCATACTCAAAGCAACTCCAAGTGCTCCAACACTACCACCACTACTACTACTACTACTACCACTACTACTACTAGTACTACTACTCCTACTACTACTACTTATCAAAGTAAAAGCCATTGTTCTCACCTGAGCAGCAGAGTCCTGGTTCAGACCTGTCCAGTCCTGGTCCAGTCCTGGTTCAGACCCTGGTTGTGATCCCATGCTCCAGATTTAAGCCCAGAAGCAGCTCTGTGATTGGCTGTTGCTGATCCATCATGACAGATGTTTGAGATGGGACAAAGACAGAGTGATGCTGCCTTCAGGGGTCCTCAGGCGGGTGGGACATAGCAGTGCTGCCTTCAGGGGCCCCCAGGAGCCGTCAGGAGCCGTGGGATCATCGTATGTATTTCCCCCACAAACAAAGTCTCTTATACAAACAGAATACACCACATCCCCCTTTCCAGTGTGTGTGTGTGTGTGTGTGTGTGTGTGTGTGTGTCTCTCTCTCTCTGCATGCGCGTGTGTGGCGGGCTGGTCCAGGACTATGGTTCTGGACTGGCCTCTTACAGGTTCTGAACTGGTTTTGGACTGGTTCCTGACAGGTGTTGGACTGGTTCTGATTCACTTTGGTACTCCACCAGAGAAATGTTACCGTAGCAACACTGTGTTTACTGCTGGAGTTAGCATTAGCCTTTCAACTGTTATTTCAGTTCCACATTTACATATTTCAGATTTCCATTGGTTTGAGACAGAGTTCTACTGTTCAGTCTGAGTCTTCACCAATGCTCTGCCAAACCTGATGGGTCCAGGTTCGGATGGGTCTGGTTCAAATGGGTCCTGGTTCTGAGGGGTCCCAGTGTTCCCTACGGAGCGCCTGGAGACAACCTATGTAGACGTGGGAAGAACATGCAAACTCCACAATCCACATTTACACCAGTAAATTATTTCCATATCCTGACATCACTCAAGTACTTTTACTAAATTACTTTTCCTCCAGTACATTTACTTCAGTACTTTTACTCCAGTACTTTTAACCAACTACTCTTAGTCCAGTACTTTAAACCCTAAGACAACTTCCCGCTACACTATAAAATGTCCTTTAGCCAGACTTCAAAGTGAAACCTATTGAAGACTAGTGTAATATCTTCTTTTAAAGCTGGGGTCTGTAACTTTAAAGCTGGGGTCTGTAACTTTCAGACCACAACAATAGAATTGTGTAACAAACCCATGTCTGTGGGTGTACCCGGAAAGAGAATTACCCAATGCTTTTGTATAAATAGATCTGTGTGTGTCTTTGTGTGTCTGTATGTCTTTGTGTGTGTGTGTGTCTGTATGTCTTTGTGTGTCTGTGTGTGTGTATCTGTGTGTGTCTTTGTGTATGTATCTGTGTGATCCTCCAGATGAAGAACAGTTTCTATTCCTGCAGCTGAGTTCATTGTGAATGAGTCACATTTTGTCACGTTAAAAATAGAAGCACTGTCTGTTCAGCTGTTACACACACACACACCACACACACATACACACACGCACGCACAGACACACACACACACACAGACACACACACACACGCACACACACAAACACACACACAGACACACACACACACAAACACCCACGCACACAGTTTTATAGATAGACACTTTATTGATCCCTGCAGGATAAAAGCAGGTGTCCAGTTGCAGAAGACTCATCCAGGTTTGTTGTACAGTCTGACAGCCGAAGGAACAAAGGATCTCTTGATCTTGAAACGATATTATGTTATGCTTTAAAATTACATACAAACTTTGGGTCTGGTCTAGACTTGGTCAAGACTTGGTCTGGACCTGAGCCAGACTTGATTCAGACCTGTTCCAGACCTGGTTCAAATGTAAATGATTATTTCTTAGTCAAATGAGTTTTTGTATATCTATTTCTATAAGAGCCGCAGCGACAGGAGCCAGACACAGACTCGCCTCTGCACAGACTTGACCTGTAAGAGACTCGCCTCTGCACAGACCTGACCTGTAAGAGACTCGCCTCTGCACAGACCTGACCTGTAAGAGACTCGCCTCTGCACAGACCTGACCTGTAAGAGACTCGCCTCTGCACAGACCTGACCTGTAAGAGACTCGCCTCTGCACAGACCTGACCTGTAAGAGACTCGCCTCTGCACAGACCTGACCTGTAAGAGACTCGCCTCTGCACAGACCTGACCTGTAAGAGACTCGCCTCTGCACAGACCTGACCTGAAAGAGACTCGCCTCTGCACAGACCTGACCTGTAAGTGACTGATTAAGGAGAGGTGAAAACATCCATTTCTACTTTGTGATATCAATAAAGTATATCTCATCTTATCTTATCTTATCATGGAGCATTATCTCAACTCTGGATAAGTGCTCACAGTTACTTGTGTTCATAAGGTTTGGAGATGATCCTTCTCTTCCTCTGGAACTCAGGCCTGGTTTGGACCTGGTTTGGATCTGGTGTCGAAGCTCTGATCCTCAGGAGACCAGTGTGGTACATCTCCACTCCCCACACCTGGAGCCAGGCCCGGGACACCTGCAGGAGGTGAGGGGTAATGCAAGGGACTGACTCGGGACAGGTCTGCTGTGACCAGGTCCATAGTGTGTCCTCTGTTGTGACCAGGTCTACAGTGTGTCCTCTGTTGTGACCAGGTTTACAGTGTGTCCTCTGATGTGACCAGGTCTAGAGTGTGTCCTCTGTTGTGACCAGGTCTACAGTGTGTCCTCTGTTGTGACCAGGTCTACAGTGTGTCCTCTGTTGTGACCAGGTCTACAGTGTGTCCTCTGTTGTGACCGGGTCTACAGTGTGTCCTCTGTTGTGACCGGGTCTATAGTGTGTCCTCTGTTGTGACCAGGTCTACAGTGTGTCCTCTGTTGTGACCAGGTCTACAGTGTGTCCTCTGTTGTGACCATGTCTACAGTGTGTCCTCTGTTGTGACCATGTCTACAGTGTGTCCTCTGTTGTGACCAGGTCTACAGTGTGTCCTCTGTTGTGACCAGGTCTACAGTGTGTCCTCTGTTGTGACCAGGTCTACAGTGTGTCCTCTGTTGTGACCAGGTCTATAGTACATCCTCTGTTGTGACAAGGTCTACAATGTGTCCTCTGTTGTGACCAGGTCTATAGTGTGTCCTCTGTTGTGACCAGGTCTACAGTGTGTCCTCTGTTTTGACCAGGGGTATAGTGTGTCCTCTGTTGTGACCATGTCTACAGTGTGTCCTCTGTTGTGACCAGCTCTATAGTGTGTCCTCTGTTGTGACCAGGTCTACAGTGTGTCCTCTGTTGTGACCAGATCTATAGTGTGTCCTTTTTTGGTGACCAGGTTTATAGTGTGTCCTCTGTTGTGACCAGGTCTACAGTGTGTCCTCTGTTGTGACCAGGTCTATAGTGTGTCCTTTTTTTGTGACCAGGTTTATAGTGTGACCTCTGTTGTGACCAGGTCTACAGTGTGTCCTCTGTTGTGACCAGGTCTACAGTGTGTCCTCTGTTGTGACCAGGTCTACAGTGTGTCCTCTGTTGTGACCAGGTCTACAGTGTGTCCTCTGTTGTGACCAGGTCTACAGTGTGTCCTCTGTTGTGACCAGGTCTACAGTGTGTCCTCTGTTGTGACCAGGTCTACAGTGTGTCCTCTGTTGTGACCAGGTCTACAGTGTGTCCTCTGTTGTGACCAGGTCTATAGTACATCCTCTGTTGTGACAAGGTCTACAATGTGTCCTCTGTTGTGACCAGGTCTATAGTGTATCCTCTGTTGTGACCAGGTCTACAGTGTGTCCTCTGTTGTGACCAGGGGTATAGTGTGTCCTCTGTTGTGACCATGTCTACAGTGTGTCCTCTGTTGTGACCAGCTCTATAGTGTGTCCTCTGTTGTGACCAGGTCTATAGTACGTCCTTTGTTGTGACCAGGTTCTACAGTGTGTCCTCTGCTATGAGTGATCAGGTCTATAGTGTGTCTTAAGCTGTGACCAGGAAGTATGGTAACTTACTCTCCTCCTTCCTACTTTATCTGTCTGCATTATTAGGATTTTGACTGTAGTCTGTTCATTGCTATTCACCCTATTCGACCCGCCTGGGAGTTGCTTCAGTCCTGCACCGGACCTGTCCACGTTCTGCGGCCGCTGCGTGGCCCTGGTCCTCGTTTTGCAGCTTAGGCCCTGGATCTACAGCCCGTCCGTCCGTGTGAAGCGGATCCCTCTCTCAAAGTGGATCTGAGGTTTCTCACTTTTTTCGCACTGGGTTTTAGAGTTTTGTCTGTTGGACAGTCTGTGTCAGGACACTTTAAAATGTATGACATTTATCAACATTCATGGACTTTGGTCTCCCTATGGACCAATACATACATATGTGTTCCATAGTTTTTGTGTCTTAAAGGTGCACTAAGCGATTTTGTTAGCTTAGCCGTAGCACCAACTCGAAACCACTTCCCCCCTACCCTCCCCTCTTCACCAAACCACTCCCCCCTCCCCTCCCCTCCCCTCCCTCTCCAACAAACCACTCCCCCCTCCCCTTCCCTCACCTCTCCACCAAACCACTCCACCCCTCCCCTCCCTCTCACCAAACCACTCCCCCCCTCCCCTCCCCTCCCTCTCTCCAAACCACTCCCCCCCTCCCCTCCCTCTCACCAAATCACTCCCCCCTCCCCTCCCTCTCCAACAAATCACTCCCCCCTCCCCTTCCCTCGCCTCTCCACCAAACCACTCCCCCCTCTCCACCAAACCAAACATCCAGCATTTTCTTTTCTTTGTTACAGCAGTGAGAGTGGGCGACAAACGTGAAATTGGCATTTTCTGTTCAGCCATTTTAGGTTTTAGAAAATCCGATAACAGGTGAGCACACTCGCGAGAAACAGGAAGAGGGTGAAGGGGGTAACTGCATCCCATTGGTTTATTTTTATCGGTCCACTCCAAAATATTTTTTATTAATTTTTGGAAACTATAGGCATCTGGTACATTACATTACTATTTGAAAACACATGATTACTTGATACTTTCAGGGTTTTACTTTTAGGGTAGGACGTTTTCCCACAATATTTAAAAAATTCGTCTGGAAAAATCTCTTGATTGCATCTTTAACTGTTGTTTCTCTGATTTGTGTTGGTGATTTAAACGGTTGGTTACGTCCTCAGAAATGACTGCTGTTGTGATTTAGGGCTATACAAGAATACATCTTATCGTATCGTAAATTGTATTGTATTGTGTGTCTTCTTTTTCTCTGATGTGGGCGTGGTCTCTGATATGTGGGCGTGTCTCTCTGCAGTGTCTACAACGGGGACCTTCTCACAGTCTCATCATGGTCCGAGCTGCTGCCATTGGACCTGAGCAGGTATTACTCGTGGCTCGGAGTTATATACCACGGCGACCACTGTCACTGGGAATACGAAGGCAATGACCACACAGATGCCCAATGGGTGCCCGTTGAACTCGCCCCTGACCAACCACAGAGCAATGGAAGCAGCAAATGTGTCCTCGCCCAATACCAGACCGACAAGTATGTCATCTATAACATGCATCTGTCCCTCATACAGTAGTTTGCTCTTGCCATTTACACAGAGTTGTTTTATGTGCCATTTATACATACAAGGGCTGGGCAATAAATCGAATTCAGGCAATTAATCGGCTTTTGAAAAAAATCAAATTAGTGAAAAATGTGAAAATCGTGAAATCGAATGAAGGATAATGTGAGAGTTCCAGCAGTACATAAATTATACTTGCAATATGAGCACAGTCTGTTCAAAACTTTTATAATACGTATTGGGGGAAACAAAATAAAAATGGTTTTGAAACTTGAATATTGAGCGGAAAGATTGAAAAGTATTTTAAAGGGTAAACTTGAATGAAAATCGATTTAAAATCTAAATCGTCCAGAGCAGGAAATAAAATCGAGATGTTACTGTTTTGCCATATCGCCCAGCCCTAAAGCTTAGCGTACATCGGACTGGCAACTGATTATATCCGTCGCCTCTGAGTTGCTGCCCCGCACACATCGACAATCTGGCGAAAACGGGCAACTCTGAGTCGCAGGCCAGTCTCTTGAATAACAGCGCGTACATCGACAGCAACTGGCCGTCACCTACAGTGTGTTTTCTGACATAAACTGTTGCGGGCGCGCTATACACGCAATACACACACGTTGTTGGAGCGGCGCATGGAGCGCGCACATCGGGGCAACTGAGGACAACTAGTTGCCGAAAAGTAGAACACGGGCAACTGACTGGAACTGGAGACCGACTGATCATCTCCAGTTGTAAGAGCGCGCACATCGACCGATTTCGGCAACTGATCATCTCCATCATCTCCTCTCAGTTGCCAAAAGCCGCCTTGCAACTAGTTGTCCCCAGTTTCTCTGTCGATGTACGCTAGGCTTAATACATACTATTTACTTGTATATCTTCAAATATGCAAAACACCATTGCTCCCCCCTCAGTCCTCTGACCCCCGCACAGACAGCCCCTCCCACTTTCTTTCTACATTTTTGTTTTTGAATGTTGTGAAATATACAACATTTCCTCCTGTGGACTCACCACCTGCAGAGGGTCAGTGAGGGGCTGGTGCTATGAGACTTGGGTGGCATCTCTGACTGCCACCCCCCTGACCCAGAAATGGATTAAAGGGTAGAGGATGGATGGATGGATGGATGAAATATACAATTGTAGTGGAAGCTGAAGGCCGAGATGTGAAGAATAACCAAAAAACTGTACGTTTATTTGTTTGTTTTACATACCACTGATTCTGCAGGACTGAAAGAGAGCACATCACCCCAGTGTTTAGACCAGAACCCCAGTGTTTAGACCACATCGCCCCAGTGTTTAGACCACATCGCCCCAGTGTTTAGACCACATCGCCCCAGTATTTAGACCACATCGCCCCAGTGTTTAGACCACATCGCCCCAGTATTTAGACCACATCGCCCCAGTGTTTAAAAGGAAGACTGTATAGAGGAAACTCTGGAGATGCTAAAAGTAAATGTTGTTGCAGAACGTTCCGGGCGCATTGCTCTGAGATGCACTTCTTCTACTGCTCGGGACCCGTCCTCCCGCCGGTCTTTGTTGCGCAGACAAAGACCCGCTCTGACGCTGAGGACTTCTGTGAGAACGCCGGTCTTCGTATCAGCACGTTCCCCTCAAAGTCGAGCCCACAGTGGCCAGGATCCCCCTTCTACAAACCCCAAGACTTGCCAGTCTGGATCGGTCTTCACGGGGATGGTGAGTTTGGGAGTAAAGCTGGAGTCCAGAACATGGGCCATTTGAGCGTTTTTCTGCCTCCTGTGTCATGAGAGCCAAAAACATGAAGAATCCACCGGAGGTCAGAGGTGAAGTTGAGGAAAATGTTAAAACAGGTGTCACTCATCATTCTTTCACTTAATACACATGGTGATAAACTACTACTGTAGTTACAGCTGCCCTGGGGCGCACCGCCATCAGCCCCTCCCACCACCACCAACCATTCACACGCACACCAGACTCATTCTAATGTGGGGGAAGTGTCTTGCCTAAGGACACAATGACGGTTAGGCACTTTAGAGCCGCAGCCGCCCCACTGTGGCACCTGTGTTCCCAGAGGTCTCCCATCATCTGACCATCTGACCACCTAACCTCCTGATCTGTGTTTCAGGAGGGTCCTGGCGCTGGAGCGACGGCTCAGAGGCCGACTACAGGAAGTGGAGTCCAGGTGAGGGGGCGGAGCCTGTTCCTGTCACTCGTCATAACTGTGGTACTTCCTGTGATGTTGGTTTGGTGAATACCTCAGATTATAAAGTGGCTCCTGTGTTGTGGTGTTTGGGTAGTTCTCTTTATTCACCTGCTCGGGTCAATCCAAACACTCGAGGTCTGCCCCTAGTGGCCACTTAATAAATAACATTTGATAACCCTCTATCTTCACCTGGTCTCTGTCTAAGTGCATCTCTCTGAGCTCCTTCTGGTCTCGTTACAGACCTCAGCGCTCCTCCTGACGCCTCCTCTGGCTCTTGTGCCTCCACCTCGTCTCTGTCCAGATTCATGTCCGCTCAGAGCTGCTCAGAGTTCCTCCCGTTCCTCTGCTCCTCTCATGACGTGGTGTTGGTGCTGGACCTCTTCAGATGGGAGGAGGCGGTGGAGGTGTGTGACAGCCTCCCTCTCCCGGGCTCCTTCAGGCTCCTCCAGCAAGAATATCATCTACAGCACATGGACAAGATCAAGAATGTCCTGCAGTTCAGCACCACGACCAAGGTGCAACTCTCTCCTATTGAGGCCCGAGTGCCACAGGCCAACAAAGGTTCCCTTAAGTCCTGTTTCCACCTACTCTACAGCCAATAAGAGCAGAGCAGAGGAGGGAAGGCTGTAAACAGAGCAATTAAAATGTTGTCTTACGGTTACATTTGTGTATGCTCTCAGTCGTTCAGGGATTATTCAAAACAAAGGCATCTGTGCTTTAGTTTCAGTTTCCCTACATGGAGAGGGAGGGGACAGGGAGTGAAGGGAAAACTTAAAGCTCATTAAAATGACCACTGGCTTCTATGGATAGAATCAGATTTAAATCCTTCTTTTGACAGATGGGGATTTACATAAAATAAGTGATAATTCACCATCATATAATTAATTTATTGCGTCAGTTTGAATACACTAGTGTCTAACCCTTGTCCTTGTGTCCTCAGGTCTGGGTGGGGCAGCGGTACCTGGGTGGTTCCTGGTTCTGGTCACATGGTGGCGCTGTCTCTCAGTCTGAGTGTCCTCAGTCTGATCTTCACTGTGGAGCTCTCGTGAACAGCCAATCAGGAGCCATAGAACCCTGTGACTGCAGCCTGCGCCTCAATGTGCTCTGCTCCAGAGAGCTGTAGGGTCAGGGGTTCTATCCCGACCCCTGAGGTTGTGTGTCATCTCCTGGAGGAGGCCCCAATGTGCAGGATATTTATATTTATATTTATATGTGTGTTTCTTCTAATTGTAATAATAAAAAAAAGTCGCATAATCACATTTATTCGTCTTTTACATAATTTCACATCTTCATAAACACGACACATTTAAATATAATAAATATTTCATCTCACTTTTGAACAGGATGTAATACCAGCAGCGGTCTGTGGAGGCGCCACAGAGCATTCTGGGAAATCACACAACCGGAATGTGACAAAAAGGAATTTTACATTTTTACTTTAAACAAACAAAGACTGAACTGTGTGTGTCTGTGTGTGCATCAGTACATGTGTGTGTTTAGAATATGGGGATGTAGTTGTCGATCTTGGCGCGGTGCCGTTGAGCAATACACTCTGCGATCCACACGATGTTGCGACACTCCTGCTCCTTCAGCTTCACGTACGAGTAAAAGACGGAGAAGTGGAACTGGTTCAGGAACGCCAACTTGTTCAGCTTCACCTGCGACAGAGAGACCACCTCAGAGACCGCCTTAGAGACCGCCTCAGAGACCACCTCAGAGACCGCCTCAGAGACCGCCTCAGAGACCGCCTCAGAGACCGCCTCAGAGACCGCCTCAGAGACCACCTCAGAGACCGCCTCAGAGACCACCTCAGAGACCACCTCAGAGACCACCTCAGAGACCACCTCAGAGACCGCCTCAGAGACCGCCTCAGAGACCGCCTGAGAGACCGCCTGAGAGACCGCCTGAGAGACCGCCTGAGAGACCACCTCAGAGACCGCCTCAGAGGCCACCTGAGAGACCACCTCAGAGACCACATCAGAGGACCACATCAGAGGACCACCTTAGAGTGGAAATGGGGCACAAGGACCATCAACAGAGACGAGGGGGCTTAGACTTTGCCTCACAACTGGTGCCGCCAGAGACTATCTGGAAACTTGTCAATCATATATAGACTGACTATATACTGTAGTAGTAAAAGTACTACTGCAGTAGTAGGAGTAGTCGAAGTAGTAGTAGTAGAAGTACTGTAGCAGTAGGAGTAGTAGTAGCAGTAGCAATAGCAGTAGCAATAGCAGTAGAAGTAGCAGTAGTAGTAGTAGTAGCAGTAGTACCTCGTGTTCAAAGAAGCGGTCCTCCAGGGTCTTGTCTCCAGGGTTACTTCCTGCGCCTTCAAACAGCAGCTTGTACTCCTGCAACACATAATACATCAGAGTACTGTAGTACAGCAGTAGTAGTAGTGGCAGTAGTAGTACTTACAGGGTAGTAGTCGGCCACGGCCTTCACTTGCTCGTAGTCGTCGGCTCTGGCCAGCTGCGACAGTCCCTCAGGAAACAGCTTCCCACAGTGAGGGAACAGTTTGGCTCGATCCTCCTTCGACAGCTCCGTCCCAAAGGAGTTGATGGTGATGATGAAGGCTCTGCGGTCTGCTTCAAACTGAACACACACACACTCAGACAGGACCAGGACCAGGACCAGGACCAGGACCACAGAGCAGAAAGCAGAGATCAGAGAGAGAAAAGCAAGAGAGCAGAGAAAGTGACCAGCAAGAGAGCAGAGAAAGAGAGAGACCAGCAAGAGAGCAGAGAAAGAGACCAGCAAGAGAGCAGAGAGAGACCAGCAAGAGAGCAGAGAAAGAGACCAGCAAGAGAGCAGAGAAAGAGACCAGCAAGAGAGCAGAGAGAGACCAGCAAGAGAGCAGAGAAAGAGACCAGCAAGAGAGCAGAGAAAGAGACCAGCAAGAGAGCAGAGAGAGACCAGCAAGAGAGCAGAGAAAGTGGCCAGCAAGAGAGCAGAGAAAGAGAGAGACCAGCAAGAGAGCAGAGAAAGTCTCACCTCCAGAATGGGGCACATTGTGTCCGCTGTGGTTCCTCCCAGATTTGAACAGAACTTGTAGAAAGACTCGAGGTACGCCTGAAACACAGGTCAGAGGTCATGCAGGAGGTAAACAAACTTCACATTACCGCCGCAAACAAGAGTAAGAGACAGAACGAAAAAACTACAAAGTGAACATTAGCAAACATGTGTCAGAAAGAGTAAGTAAGTAATGTTTATTTATATAGCGCCTTTCACAGACCAGAGTCATATAGCGCTTTACAATTGTTGACTTATTGCACACGTTTTTAGTGGTAGGAGGAACCCGGAGCACCCGGAGGAAACCTACGCAGATACAGGGAGAACATGCAAACTCCACAGTGAAAGGTCTGGGGGCGGAATCAAACCAGGACCTTCTTGCTGTGAGGCACACTATGTATTTAAATGTGTAACTTTTACCTTTGTGCGGCAGTTGTTTCATAAAATGTGCAATACGAATAAAGTGGATTGGACTGGACAGTGTAAGGCATTAGTTTAGGGCGGGCATATTCACTGTGTGTTAGAACTGCACAGCTGTTCTGTAAAGAGGAATGGCCAAAACTTTCAGTCTCAAGATGTACAAATCCAGTTGAGTCGGACCCGAGAGGACAAAAGGAGGCTCCATAAACTACTGCCCCATGTTCAATCATTCAGTTTTCACCTCACACAAGTCTCTTTCCAAAGATAACGTGGTCTAAAGCAGGACGAGTCTCGCACCTTGTACAGCGTGTTCCGGATGATCTCGATGTTCATCTCGTCCAGATCTTGTTCTGAGATACAGTCCTGGAAAAAGGCAGCTGCAAAAACAGAACACACAGGATTTATAAACTTCTATTGGCTTTTATTCAGTTGAAACCTATATCCAGTAAAACAGCTTCTCTTGGTCAGGGTTTTAGTCCCGGTCTTGAGTCTAGGCCTTGGGATACGGGCCTTGGGATACGGGCCTTGGGATACGGGCCTTGGGATACGGGCCTTGGGATACGGGCCTTGGGATACGGGCCTTGGGATACGGGCCTTGGGATACGGGCCTTGGGATACGGGCCTTGGGATACGGGCCTTGGGATACGGGCCTTGGGATACGGGCCTTGGGATACGGGCCTTGGGATACGGGCCTTGGGATACGGGCCTTGGGATACGGGCCTTGGGATACGGGCCTTGGGATACGGGCCTTGGGATACGGGCCTGGGATACGGGCCTGGGGATACGGGCCTTGGGATACGGGCCTTGGGATACGGGCCTTGGGATACGGGCCTTGGGATACGGGCCTTGGGATACGGGCCTTGGGATACGGGCCTTGGGATACGGGCCTTGGGATACGGGCCTTGGGATACGGGCCTTGGGATACGGGCCTTGGGATACGGGCCTTGGGATACGGGCCTTGGGATACGGGCCTTGGGATACGGGCCTTGGGATACGGGCCTTGGGATACGGGCCTTGGGATACGGGCCTTGGGATACGGGCCTTGGGATACGGGCCTTGGGATACGGGCCTTGGGATACGGGCCTTGGGATACGGGCCTTGGGATACGGGCCTTGGGATACGGGCCTTGGGATACGGGCCTTGGGATACGGGCCTTGGATACGGGCCTTGAGATACGGGCCTTGAGATACGGGTCTGGGTCTGGGTCTGGGTCTCGTACCCAGCGGCGTGTCCACCAGGATGGCGTTGTAGAGCTCGGCGGGTGTCTGGGCGATGTTGACGGCCTCCATCTGCTCGAAGCTGCCCAGAGGGTGGCATTTGGGAACAAGCTCCGAGATCGCCCTCTGGTGGAGAGTCCCGGTGATGAGCAAGATCACATTATCGATCATGTAGCTGTAACTGAGAGGGGACCAGAGGTGAGACCAGAGAGAGAGACCAGAGGTGAGACCAGAGAGAGAGACCAGAGGTGAGACCAGAGAGAGAGAGACCAGAGGGAGAGAGACCAGAGATGAGACCAGAGAGAGACCAGAGCTGAGACCAGAGAGAGAGACCAGAGGTGAGACCAGAGAGAGAGAGACCAGAGAGAGAGACCAGAGGTGAGACCAGAGGTGAGACCAGAGGCGAGACCAGAGGCGAGACCAGAGGCGAGACCAGAGGCGAGACCAGAGGTGAGGTGAGACCAGACGTGAGACCAGACGTGAGACCAGGACCAGACTTGACACAAACCAGACCTGGGCCAGGACAGCATAAGACCTGGACCACGACTAACATCACCTAGAATAACAAGACCAGACCCAGGAAAAGCACTAAACCTGCACCAGGACTAACACCAGACACTGGATCAGGACCAACACCAGACCTGGATCAACATCAGACTTGAAATAACACTAGACTTGGACCAGGACTAACACTAGTCCTGAGCAGGTAGCTGGCCTGGGTAGAGGTCTGGGGGTGGAGATTCTTACGTGATGAAGTCCATGAAGGAGGCCAGGGGCTCGTAGGACTGGTTCCTCATGTGCCTGAACTCCACCACCATCTTCTCCTTCAGTTTATCATCGATCACAGACACCACCAACGGAGACGCTTCGTTAGACAAGAAGCTGCCATAGTCTGTGCTCTGGAGGTGGAGCTTCAGATCTGCAACACACACACAGAGAGACAGAGACACACACACACACACACACAGAGAGACAGAGACACACACATACACACACGCACATACACGCAGAGACACACACACACAGAGAGAGACAGAAACACAGACACACACACAGTCCTTAGTTCCTGTTTTGTTTCTCACATTAATCACATTTAACCCTTACGAAACTGTCAATGTCAAATGTATTTCTATAGCACATTTACAACAACAAACTCTGCCCAAAGTGCTGCACAGTAAAAAATATATAATACATCAAAAAGGCTATAGTAAAAACAGATCAACAAATATCACAACACAGCAACGCTTCTTAGTTGCCAAAGGCCAGAGTAAAATAAGATGTTTAAGAAAGATTTCAAAACATTTAAGGAAGCTGCAGCTCGGATAGACAAGAGGAGTCTGTTCCTGATCTATCTAAAACACAGAAGTCTGGAGCACTTTGACTAATTTATTCACATTATAAGTGGATCCCAAACTAACCTGAAATAAGGCAAAACAACTCCAGGAACATGTGTTCTCTTTCAAACATTCTGGACAACGTTTCTTTCGTGAGTTTAGGAGTTGAATGAAAGACAATTAAATACATGTAACAGCTAGTACAAAGTATAACAGAAAAACAAGTGTTCAATAGAAAAACTAATATATAAATATAGAACTATAAAATGAAGACAATTATATATCTAAAGGGATTTTTACATCATCCCCTAAATTCAAGCTGGTGCCAACATGATGTTTATATTCTATCATAATCATAATCATACAGCCAGAGTCCACGACATGTTCCTCAAGACGTCACCACGGAGACAGGTTAGCATGTTAGCTCCAGGTTAGCATGTTAGCATGTTAGCTCCAGGTTAGCATGTTAGCTCCAGGTTAGCATGTTAGCTCCAGGTTAGCATGTTAGCTCCAGGTTAGCATGTTAGCTCCAGGTTAGCATGTTAGCTCCAGGTTAGCATGTTAGCTCCAGGTTAGCATGTTAGCTCCAGGTTAGCATGTTAGCTCCAGGTTAGCATGTTAGCATGCTAGCTCCAGGTTAGCATGTTAGCTCTAGGTTAGCATTTCCGCAGAGCTGAACACTACATCATACTAATAACACATGTTGTGCTTCTGGCACATGTCGTGGTGTATTTGTTAATCAACCCTTTATTGTACACAATGCGGTTCAGTGGCAGCGCCATGGCTGGTAATGGTTTGACCGTTAGCATCTTCAGCGTTAGCATCGTTAGCTTCGTTAGCTATGAAGTGGACACAGAGCTGTGTTAAAGAGAGGACACACTAACCCTGGACATGCATGGACACTATGTTAACACAAACACATTAATTACATATGTATTGTATGTTTGTATGGGAACAATGAAAAGACATGAACGCTGCAAAGCTGTCAGTGGTTTAATGTGTTTTGTTAAATTAATTAATCGAAGCAGTCCACAGCCGTGTCTGTGTGTTGTATATATATATGTATATAAATAATATATTATATCTATATATGTACGAACATGTGTATATATAAGCAGGTTTACGGACCCTCCAGAGTCTCGCACTGGACCAGGTTCAGGTAGTCCGCTTGGCTCAGGATCCCGGCCTTAAACCCGCGCACGAGCCCCTCCAGGTACCCGTTATCCGCGTTGAAATACAGCTCCGGGAACGGCATGGTCCTGGGTCTGGGTCTATTGTCCTAGTTCGGTCCTGGATCAGTCCTGGTTCTGTCCTGGTTCAGTCCTGGTCAGGCTCTGCTTTGACGTGATCAGCTGACACAGTCATCACGTGACGCTCAGATGACAGTCACGTGGTTTGGAAATGTTTTTTTTAAAAGGGGAAATTCTGAAATTACATTTAAATAACTACATCTTTTATATATCCTCAGATAACACGTCACATTTACAGATATATAACCAGCGGGGCACATAACTGTTTCAGTGAGGTCCTCAGATGAGACCAGGAGATGGTGTTTGGTTCTCAGCCCATTTGTCGCGTGGTTCTTAATTGAGATTTTAAATTGCTTTTTTTATGCTAAAGTTTAGATCGGCTCAAATAACCCACTCTCAGCCCAAAAAGTCAAATGATAACTCACAGGTTTCTTATGCAAAAAATCTAAAACAAGACTGTTGTGGTTTGTTCTGTTTCATTCGTTCTCAACATTTTATTTTTGGGCAAAAACCAACATGCATCATCAATGCAAAGGAAAATGTAGGTACCCCAGCTTTAATTAATCAAGTTTTAGTTGCGTTTCGGGGAGAGATGCGAGGGGCATGGACACTCTGGCTCCATAGTCCTGCTCTGTTTCTTGCTCTCTGTGTGGAGGGAGAGACTAATGCCCAGAATAACAATTATAAAGCTCTTTGTGACTGGTCTGAGAAAGGCGCTATTTAAATAAAGATTACTAACTTACAGGTGTGTATTTGTTGCATGCACAGGTTACCAAAGAGACCCCTTGGCTCTGCCCCACGAACCCTCCACCCCCCCAGGGGTACTCAAAGGTACTGACTCAAGTGATAATAGCATTTCTGATTTTTGTGGCGCATGCTTCCTGCACTGCTGGATATATCACTGTCCATCTGTTTACAGTCTATGACAACACGGCCATAAAGAACAGATAAACACATGATTATCATGAACCATTACAGAAAGAAGAAAACACATGACACCGTTTCTTCAAATAATATATTATATTCTTATATAAAGGAACATTAGCATAACAAACTCGAGTACTGTAGTGTGTTCTGTACAAACATATGAAGCATAATCATGTTATAACTAACATTGCATTCAGCCAAACATAAAATTAACAAAACATGCACAGAGACAGACAGACAGACACACAGAGACACACAGAGACACACACGCACACAGAGACCCGAAGCCGACACACGTGTGCACATAGACACACTTGTTAAATGTCTGAGGAGCTGAGGACTCGCTGCTGCCCTCTGTTGGTCAGGTCGTTCTGTGGCAGAGAGAGAACAGGGATTATTTAACTCTGAATCACTGTCGGCAAAGTATTATTACAGTAAGAAAAGAGTATTTAAGAACTCACCATGAACCGTGAGTATGAGGCCACAGAGCCCAGCAGGTCCTGGTCCAGTCCAGGTTTGGTCCCTTGAGGATCTTGGTTCAGTCCAGGTTTAGACATGACAGGTCGGCCCAACTGAGAAGATGTGAGATCACATGACTGCTCTACAGAGACACTAGCTCCTGATGACAGCTCTATAAAGACACTAGCTCCTGATGACAGCTCTACAGAGACACTAGCTCCTGATGACTGCTCTACAGAGACACTAGCTCCAGATGACAGCTCTACAGAGACACTAGCTCCTGATGACAGCTCTATAAAGACACAGGCTCCTGATGACAGCTCTATAAAGACACTAGCTCCTGATGACTGCTCTACAGAGACACTAGCTCCTGATGACAGCTCTACAGAGACACTAGCTCCTGATGACAGCTCTACAGAGACACTAGCTCCTGATGACAGCTCTACAGAGACACTAGCTCCTGATGACAGCTCTACAGAGACACTAGCTCCTGATGACAGCTCTATAAAGACACTAGCTCCTGATGACAGCTCTACAGAGACACTAGCTCCTGATGACTGCTCTACAGAGACACTAGCTCCAGATGACAGCTCTACAGAGACACTAGCTCCTGATGACAGCTCTATAAAGACACAGGCTCCTGATGACAGCTCTATAAAGACACTAGCTCCTGATGACTGCTCTACAGAGACACTAGCTCCTGATGACAGCTCTACAGAGACACTAGCTCCTGATGACAGCTCTACAGAGACACTAGCTCCTGATGACAGCTCTACAGAGACACTAGCTCCTGATGACAGCTCTACAGAGACACTAGCTCCTGATGACAGCTCTATAAAGACACTAGCTCCTGATGACAGCTCTATAAAGACACTAGCTCCTGATGACTGCTCTACAGAGACACTAGCTCCTGATGACAGCTCTACAGAGACACTAGCTCCTGATGACAGCTCTACAGAGACACTAACTCCTGATGACAGCTCTACAGAGACACTAGCTCCTGATGACAGCTCTACAGAGACACTAGCTCCTGATGACAGCTCTACACTAGCTCCTGATGACAGCTCTACAGAGACACTAGCTCCTGATGACAGCTCTAGAGACACTAGCTCCTGATGACTACTCTACAGAGACACTAGCTCCTGATGACAGCTCTATAAAGACACTAGCTCCTGATCTCTGCTCTACAGAGACACTATCTCCTGATGACAGCTCTACAGAGACACTAACGCCTGATGACAGTTCTACAGACACTAGCTCCTGATGACAGCTCTACAGAGACACTAGCTCCTGATGACAGCTCTACACTAGCTCCTGATGACAGCTCTACAGAGACACTAGCTCCTGATGACAGCTCTAGAGACACTAGCTCCTGATGACTACTCTACAGAGACACTAGCTCCTGATGACAGCTCTACAGAGACACTAGCTCCTGATGACAGCTCTACAGAGACACTAGCTCCTGATGACAGCTCTACAGAGACACTAGCTCCTGATGACAGCTCTACAGAGACACTAGCTCCTGATGACAGCTCTACAGAGACACTAGCTCCTGCTCTGGACAGAGCAGTCGCATTCTCTTGCTGCTCCTCGCTTGCTGCTTTTTTATCTCCTTTAATCATTTTTGCTTACATTTTTATTCCACAAAACACGGATTACTCCTTTTTACAAACTTCAACACAAGACTTGTGGAATTTACCTAACTTACAGCATGTCGGGAGGACAGGAAAAAAGAACAAAACTTTGCGACGGCTGTTTTTCACTCAAACAGGAGCTAAAACTTCTTCAAGACTGAATGTTTGTGCTTGAATCAGAATTGGGGCTGAACACAACAATACCAGTGAAAGGAAATGGACCAAATGGACATTTCCCAAAATCAACAGAGACAATTGTTGGAACACATATGGTGCCAAGCCCAAACAAGGCAAAGCTAATGATAACAAGAGTGTCATAATGCCACAGCAAAAATCTTTAATTACAAGAAACCGCTTTTCACCACTTTTGGAAGATGAATCAGCAGCAGTCTCTCAGTCCCAGTCTCAGTCTCAGTCAAGGTCAAATGCAGCTGAGTCGCTCTTTATCGGCGATTCTGCGATAAGACATGTAAACATGCGTAATCTCAAGCTTCACTCAGTACACTCTGCCAAAGTGGATGAGATAAGGCGGTTGGCTCCGAGGCTTCTGTCTGAGACCGGCGGGGTAAAAAGATTGTTGATCCACGTGGGGGCAGTAGACGTCTATGACAACACAAGTGAAAAGTTGAAACGGGATTACTCTCTCTTATTGGACGACCTTGCTAAAATGGACGCAACAATCGTTATCAGTGGCCCACTACCAAATGTGGACGGGAAGCAAATGAAATTCAGTCGTCTGTATCAGCTAAATGCTTTCCTACTCAACGAATGTTCACGCAGAGGACTTGCCTTCATTGAGAATTTTAATCTGTTCTGGAATAGGCATGAGCTTTTTGAAGGGAAAGGGCCACATCTGAACACTTACGGAGTAAAAGTGTTGATGGATAACCTTTCTTTTGCCCTGAGACCTCAGCCTGCAAAGCGCGTGCAGCCATCGAAAGGGAGGAAGCCGACTCTAAAAGTCTCTGCACCTCCACCACCTCGAAGGATCTCAACACCACCACCACCTCGAAGGATTTCAACACCACCACCACCTTGAAGGATCTCAACACCTCCACCACCTCGAAGGATCTCAACACCACCACCACCTCGAAGGATCTCAACACCACCACCACCTCGAAGGATTTCAACACCATCACTGCCTCAAAGGATCTCAACACCTCCACTGTCATCAGAAGCAGCTGCATCATCACCAGCAGCAGCTGCATCATCACCAGCAGCAGCACCAGCAGCACGACCACCACCAACATCCTCATCCCCAGCCTGCTCCAAAGCAGCCACGCCTTCTTCATCTACAGCGCCTCTGAAGCCCCCATCCTCACCCCAGCCTACAGCAGACAGGCCTGTGCTGGGGTTTCCTCAACCACCTGCCCCTCCATCAAAGACTCCCTCGCCACCTCCCATGGACCTGTCTTGGGTCCCCCCTGCCACGTCCACTCCATCAAGAGAGAATGGGGACACCTCCCTTTGTTTTTCATCCCCGCCTTCACTGTTAGACCTACCTGAACACTCTGCAGGGCTAATAAAATCGGCGATGAAGACTATTCCTCTCACACCCATATTAGCTAGATCTAGAGTCCTGTCCAACATTCTAAACCACTCCCCATATGTACCTCCAAAACCACCTAGGGTTTCCAATTCACCTACAAAAACCACCCCAGCCAGTCCCTCCCCTAACCTCATGACCATTCCACCCCCACTTCCCCCTCGTTCAACACCCAAAACCTCTGCCTCAGCCCACCCCGGCCCTAACCCATCACCAAAAACCCCTCCACCTCCCTGCCCCCCTCATTCAACACCCAAAAGCCACCCACCTCTCCATCCTCCTCCCCCGCCTTCCCCTGCCCCTCTTTTCTCTAAACACTAGGATGCACAGGGTCTCTGCTTCGCAGCCACTGGCAGTCTAGTTAGAGGAGAGACCCGGCTGGGGCCCTGTCATGAAGCCACCTGTGCCATTCCCTTAGTGATAACACAAAGAGTACATTACAGAAAAACATCTGGAGTTAATCAGTCTAATCTGGAAAATCTAATTCTTGTTCCGTGTAAGAATCAGCCGACCACAACCGCTGATACTGAAACTTTAAAACTTGCTACGCTTAATGTCAGATCTCTTTGTAACAAGTCTTTTTTAATCAATAATTTTATTTGTTCTTATAATCTAGATCTTATGTTCATGGCTGAAACATGGCTTGACCAAAATTCAGGAAATGCAGTTTTAATAGAAGCATCACACCAAATTTCAAGTTTGAATCTGAAATACGGGAAAACAAAAAAGGAGGAGGCTTAGCTGCCATTTTTAGAGACCACTTTGTCTCCCATAGAATGTCTCTTGGGAAGTTTTCGTCTTTTGAATATGTGTCTTTTAAAATACAACAAAAACAATCTCCTCCAATACTCTTCATTGTCCTATACAAGCCACCGCAGTCATGTCACAGTTTTATTGATAATTTTACCGAGTTGCTTTCAGTTGTATGCACAGATTTTGATAGTTTGGTTATTACAGGTGATTTTAATATTCATGTGGATAATGTTGATGACAGAAATGCAAATGAGCCGAGTTCTGTTCTTGAATCCTTTGATCTCACTCAGCACGTAAGTGGCCCCACCCACAGCAGAGGGCACACTCTAGATCTGTTAGTTACAAAGGGGGTGAATATTTCAAATGTAAACGTGGTCGATGTTGCTCTTTCGGATCATTTCTGTGTTTTTTTTGACATGTGTTTCACTAAGAAATAGGGCTGGGCGATATGGCAAAAAAAAAAATCTCCGATTTTTTCACACCAAATCCGATTTTCGATTTTAATCGATTTATTTTTTTCTATTTAAAAACAAACTACAACTGACAAAGAAATAGATTTTCCTTTATGCAGTTTAATCTAAATCCCCATGGAGCATAAGTGTAACAGGAATTAAGCCTTAAAACATGCTTGTAAACGAGATGGCTCTGCCATTGTAAACAGTGAAAATGTAGCTTAACAGTTTTATAATAACTTCACTTACAATGACACTATGCACCTTCAAAATAACTTAAATCACACAAACAAGGCCCATCGCAAATATATCAATCCTATTAAACACATGCATTATTTACATGAAATATCACATTTTTAAAACTGATTACTCAAAATAGAAATGTTGTAACAGTCTTTTCCAAAAGCCTCCTCGGGTTTTCATGCTTGTTCTTTCAACTGTGCCTGAGTAACTGTGCTGTAGTACAACGCTCGGTCCAGCTGGTGGCGCTAATACTAACTTCAGTGACTCCCGCATTGTGCGAGCTTCCTGTTTACATTCTGATGCTGTAGCTAACAGCTACTGTAGCAGCTACTGTAGCTAACAGCTACTGTAGCAGCTACTGTAGCTAACAGACAGCGGGGAACACGTTGTTTGTATCAGAGCAATGAGAGCAATGTGTGAGACGTGTCTTTCCCCAAAGTGCAGCGGCTCAGTGGGACACGAGTGTGTGCGTGCGCGCCACGGACACGGGAGTGCGCTTTGGAATAACGAGCGTGAGAGAGCGTGAAAGATGTGGCGTACGAACATGGCGTACGAACATAGCGACCGGAGCCTGCGTGCGTGTGTGTGTGTGTTTTGGCGATTAAATAAAGTCTGATTCTTGAACGTTTGAAGTGTTATTGCAACAGCACCAACTGTGAGAGCGAGCATCAGGCCAGAGGGAGACTGTTAGCATTAGGTTAGCTTCAAAATGACTGCTCAACACCATAGACCCGCGGTTAGCGCGTTAGCGCTGGAGAAAATAAAAATCGAATTTAAAAAAAAAGAAATCGCCCTAAACGTAAAACTCGAATTAATGATTAAAATCGATTAATCGCCCAGCCCTACTAAGAAACCACCAGTGGACTCTGCAACTGTACGAAGAAGACACATAAATGAAAATACGAGTGAACTATTTATGGAAATGATAAACTTTGAGAATGCATCGTATTCTACTGTAGATGAATTGTTTAACTCTGTCACCTCTAGTGTTTTGAATGTTCTGGATACCGTTGCCCCTGTGAAGGTTAAAATAGTGAAAAATAAGCAGAAGGCGCCGTGGGCTAAAGCAGACTCGGTCAGGGCACAAAAGAGAAAGTGCCGGAGGGCCGAGCGGAAGTGGCGCAAGTCCAACCTCCAGGTTGATTACGAGATCTTCAAAGATAAGTTGTGCGAGTTTAACCGGGTGCTACGTAGTACGAGAGAAAGGTATTTTTCTGAAATGATTGAAGGCTGCAGCAACAATCTGCGTGTTCTGTTTTCAACAGTTAATAGATTAACAAACCCCCCTGTTCAAATGCCATTAGAGCTAACTTCCAAACGTAAATGCAATGAGTTTGCACATTTTTTCAATGACAAGGTTCAAGGCATCAAAAACGCCATTGTCTCCAATCCACAGATAACAATCCAACAGCCAGAAAGGCTCTCTGAGCTAACTTACTTTGCACCTGTAAATGATAAAAATGTCCAAGAAATAATCTCCAGTTTGAGCTCCTCCACATGCAGCTTGGATGTACTACCCACTAGATTTCTAAAGTCTGTTCTGAGCAGTCTGTTACCTTCACTCACACAGATAGTAAACATGTCCCTTCATTCTGGAATATTCCCAAAGGCCCTGAAAACTGCAGTCATCAGGCCCCTGCTAAAAAAGAGCAGTCTGGATGCTACGGTACTTAACAACTATCGTCCCATCTCAAATCTGCCATTTATGGGGAAAGTCCTTGAAAAAGTTGTCTACCTACAGCTTACTAGATTTCTTATAATTAACAACTCATTTGATATGTTTCAGTCCGGCTTTAGACCCCACCACAGCACTGAGACTGCTCTTGTTAAGGTTACAAACGATATCCGGCTGAACACTGACGCAGGCAAAGTCTCAATCTTAATCTTGTTAGATCTAAGTGCTGCCTTTGACACTGTCGACCATGAGATCCTCTTACAGAGATTAGAGGACTGGGTTGGCGTCGCTGGCACCGCCCTAAGTTGGTTTAGGTCTTACCTTGAAGACAGGAAGTACTTTGTGGAGATTGGAAACTGTGTCTCAGATCATATGGCCCTGACCTGTGGAGTACCACAGGGGTCGATCCTGGGACCTCTTCTGTTCAATCTCTACATGCTGCCGTTAGGTCAGTTAATACGCAGAAACGAAGTTTCCTATCATAACTATGCAGACGACACTCAGATCTATGTCTCACTGACTGCAGGAGAACATGGACCAGTGGACTCACTCCTTCACTGTATCCAACAGATCAGTGAGTGGATGCAAAACAACTTCCTTCAGCTAAACGCAGACAAAACTGAAATGATTGTCTTTGGTCCCCAGAAACAAATAGAGAGCGTCATCTGTCACCTACAGTCTCTCTCCCTAAAACCTTCAAACAAGGTCAGAAATCTAGGGGTAATACTGGACTCAGACTTACATTTTAATAGCCACATCAAATCAGTAACATCAGCAGCTTTTTACCATCTAAAAAACATTGCCAGGATCAAAAACATAGTGTCTAAAGCAGACCTGGAGATTCTTATCCATGCATTTGTCTCCAGTAGGTTAGACTACTGCAATGGCCTGCTCACAGGTCTGTCCAAACAGGCTGTAAAACAGCTGCAGTACATTCAAAATGCAGCAGCTCGAGTCCTGACTAGAACCAGGAAGTACGACCACATTAGTCCTGACTAGAACCAGGAAGTACGACCACATTAGTCCTGACTAGAACCAGGAAGTACGACCACATTAGTCCAGTCCTCAGGTCTCTGCACTGGCTTCCTGTGGCTCATAGAATAGACTTTAAAACAGCTCTGCTTGTTACAAGTCTCTCCATGGCCTCGCACCAAAATATATTAGTGACATGTTAGTCCCATATGAACCAGCCCGGACTCTGAGGAGCACAGGGACTGGACTCCTGCTGGGACTCTGAGGAGCACAGGGACTGGACTCCTGCTGGGACTCTGAGGAGCACAGGGACTGGACTCCTGTTAGTGCCCAGAGTCAGAACTAAACATGGGGAGGCTTTCAGATTCATGCTGCTAAAATCTGGAACAGTCTTCCTGAAGATGTGAGACAGGCCTCCTCTCTGACAATGTTTAAAACCAGGTTAAAGACAGTTCTGTTTAGCTGTGCTACAACTGAGGGATTTTATATTTGTATCTTTCTTTTTAATGTTCTGTGATTATTTATGATTTTAATGCTTTCTTGTTTTGTTCAGCACTTTGAATTGCCTTGTGTATGAATTGTGCTATACAAATAAACTTGCCTTGCCTTGCCTTGATGACTGCTCTACAGAGACACTAGCTCCTGATGACAGCTCTACAGAGACACTAGCTCCTGATGACAGCTCTACAGAGACACTAGCTCCTGATGACAGCTCTACAGACACTAGCTCCTGATGACTGCTCTACAGAGACACTAGCTCCTGATGACAGCTCTACAGAGACACTAGCTCCTGATGACAGTTCTACAGAGACACTAGCTCCTGATGACAGCTCTACAGAGACACTAGCTCCTGATGACAGCTCTACAGAGACACTAGCTCCTGATGACAGCTCTACAGAGACACTAGCTCCTGATGACAGCTCTACAGACACTAGCTCCTGATGACAGCTCTACAGAGACACTAGCTCCTGACGACAGCTCTACAGAGACACTAGCTCCTGATGACAGCTCTACAGAGACACTAGCTCCTGATGACAGCTCTACAGAGACACTAGCTCCTGATGACAGCTCTACAGAGACACTAGCTCCTGATGACAGCTGGGTGGCGGAGCACATGACTCACCTGGTGGGCGGGGCGTATGGAAGGGCGGGGCCTAGGGCTAACCCCGCCCCTCACAGATCGTAGTGTGCTATTGGTGGAGAGACTGCATCCGCTGATCTGTGGAACAGTACCGTCCAATCAGATCCCAGAACACTCAGACATATACTGATACTAAGCTCGTATAGGCCCAGGGCCTCAGGGAAAGTGCCTGGTCTCACCGGAGTCCTCCTGGTCTGGCTGAGGCTCTTGGGGCTCTGGCTCCTGAGGGCTGGACCTCTGAGGGCGGGGCTTCTGTGGGTAAGGATTCCGAGGGCAGGGCTTCTGTGGGCGGAGCCTATGAAGCGGCGCTTGGTCGGCGTGCGCACAGTACCGTACAACATGTCCTCCTCAGTCTGACGAGCTTTTCTCAGCAACTGGACCAAACAAGGAAACGTGTTACACTGAGAATCTTCCCCCTCTGACTTCCTCCTCAGGCCTCTCTATAACTCATAGCTCTTGACACGTGTTAAAAGTCTATTGTGTATAGTTATATATTGTGATTGTATTAATGTTATTTAGATTTTAACGCCTTAATATCTCAGTCATGTTAGCAAATCATTAGCCTGTTGTTAGCCTGCTGTTAGCTTGTCATTGGCCTGTTGCTAGCCTGTTATTAACGTGTTGTTAGCCTGCTGGTAGCTTGTTGTTTGCCTGTCATTAGCCTGCTGTTAGCCGGTTGTTAGCCTGTCGTTAGCCTGTCATTAGCCTGTTGTTAGCCTGCTGTTAGCTTGCTGTTAGCCTGTCATTAGCATATTGTTGTTGTTAGCTTACCCTCTCCTCTCTCTCGCGCTCTCGCTGCTCGTGCAACTGGTTCCACTGCTGCTCCACAAACTGGAGGAAGTTTGATCCTTTGACCAGAAACTCAGAGTGTTGTTGTTCCTCCCAGAGCGAGATCTGTGTCCGGAGTGAGCGTTCCAGCTGAAAACACAAACAACCAGCGATTCTAAAGTAAAGTAAAATATATGAGATATGAGAGTGTGGATGTGACCGATAAAAGTCTGGTCTCTCCATCAGCGGCCCCTCCCTCTGCGGCCCCTCCCTCAGTGGCCTTTCTCTCCCTCTGCGGCCCCTCCCTCAGTGGCCTTTCTCTCCATCAGCGGCCCCTCCCTCAGCGGCCCCTCCCTCTGCGGCCCCTCCCTCAGCGGCCCCTCCCTCTGCGGCCCCTCCCTCAGTGGCCTTTCTCTCCCTCAGCGGCCCCTCCCTCAGTGGCCTTTCTCTCCCTCAGCGGCCCCTCCCTCAGTGGCCTTTCTCTCCCTCTGCGGCCCCTCCCTCAGTGGCCTTTCTCTCCATCAGCGGCCCCTCCCTCAGCGGCCCCTCCCTCTGCGGCCCCTCCCTCAGCGGCCCCTCCCTCTGCGGCCCCTCCCTCAGTGGCCTTTCTCTCCATCAGCGGCCCCTCCCTCAGCGGCCCCTCCCTCTGCGGCCCCTCCCTCAGCGGCCCCTCCCTCTGCGGCCCCTCCCTCAGTGGCCTTTCTCTCCCTCTGCGGCCCCTCCCTCAGTGGCCTTTCTCTCCCTCTGCGGCCCCTCCCTCAGTGGCCTTTCTCTCCCTCAGCGGCCCCTCCCTCAGTGGCCTTTCTCTCCCTCTGCGGCCCCTCCCTCAGTGGCCTTTCTCTCCCTCTGCGGCCCCTCCCTCAGTGGCCTTTCTCTCCCTCAGCGGCCCCTCCCTCAGCGGCCCCTCCCTCTGCGGCCCCTCCCTCAGTGGCCTTTCTCTCCCTCTGCGGCCCCTCCCTCAGTGGCCTTTCTCTCCCTCTGCGGCCCCTCCCTCAGCGGCCCCTCCCTCTGCGGCCCCTCCCTCAGTGGCCTTTCTCTCCCTCAGCGGCCCCTCCCTCAGTGGCCTTTCTCTCCCTCTGCGGCCCCTCCCTCAGTGGCCTTTCTCTCCCTCTGCGGCCCCTCCCTCAGTGGCCTTTCTCTCCCTCTGCGGCCCCTCCCTCAGCGGCCCCTCCCTCAGCGGCCCCTCCCTCAGTGGCCTTTCTCTCCCTCAGCGGCCCCTCCCTCACCTTGTTGAGGTTCTTGCTGAGGTCACTTTTCTGCTTTTCTTCTTTCAGCAGATTTCCGCCTCGATTTTTAAACCTGGAAACATCTGAGGCCTTTGTCTGCAACACAGGAAATTTAGAGAACTAGTACTAATACTGCTACTGCTACTGCTACTGCTACTGCTGCTACTGCTACTACTACTACTACTGCTGCTGCTACTACTGCTACTACTACTACTGCTGCTGCTACTACTGCTACTACTGCTACTACTGCTACTGCTGCTACTACTGCTGCTGCTGCTACTACTGCTACTGCTACTGCTACTACTGCTACTGCTACTGCTGCTACTACTGCTACTGCTACTGCTACTACTGCTACTGCTACTGCTGCTACTACTACTACTACTGCTACTGCTACTGCTACTACTGCTACTGCTACTACTGCTACTGCTGCTACTACTGCTGCTGCTGCTACTACTGCTACTGCTACTGCTACTACTGCTACTGCTACTGCTGCTACTACTACTACTACTGCTACTGCTACTGCTACTACTGCTACTGCTGCTACTGCTGCTACTACTGCTGCTGCTGCTACTACTGCTACTACTACTACTACTGCTGCTGCTACTACTACTGCTGCTGCTGCTGCTGCTGCTGCTACTACTGCTGCTGCTGCTGCTGCTGCTGCTACTACTGCTACTGCTGCTGCTGCTGCTACTACTGCTACTGCTGCTGCTACTGCTACTGCTGCTGCTGCTGCTACTGCTGCTACTACTGCTGCTGCTGCTACTGCTGCTACTACTGCTGCTGCTGCTACTGCTGCTGCTGCTACTACTACTACTACTGCTACTGCTACTACTACTACTGCTGCTGCTGCTGCTGCTGCTGCTACTACTACTACTACTGCTGCTGCTACTGCTGCTGCTGCTGCTACTACTACTACTACTGCTGCTGCTACTACTACTACTGCTGCTGCTACTACTACTGCTGCTGCTGCTGCTGCTGCTACTACTGCTGCTACTGCTGCTACTACTGCTGCAGCTGCTGCTGCTACTACTACTACTGCTACTACTACTACTGCTGCTGCTGCTGCTACTACTACTACTGCTACTACTGCTACTGCTACTACTACTACTGCTGCTGCTGCTGCTACTACTACTACTGCTACTACTGCTACTGCTACTACTGCTGCTGCTGCTAACCTCCAGCAGGATGTACTGCTCCCATTGGTCGATCCACTTGCGGACGTCGTCTATTATTGGTCGATGTCGTTCATAAAAATGTTTAAGACGTTGAAGCTCCGCCTCCAGGACCTCCAACACCTGATCTGAGACCTGGTCTGGAACCAGAGAACAGAGACTGAGACCAAGACCAGAGACCAAAGACCAGGATCAAGGATCAAGACTAGAGACCAGAGATCAAGACTATAGACCAGGATCAAGGATCAAGACTAGAGACCAAGACCAGAGACCAGGATCAAGACCAGGATCAAGACTAGAGACCAAGACCAGAGACCAGGATCAAGACCAGGATCAAGACTAGAGACCAAGACCAGAGACCAGGATCAAGACCAGGATCAAGACTAGAGACCAAGACCAGAGACCAGAGATCAAGACTAGAGACCAGAGATCAAGACTATAGACCAGGATCAAGACCAGGATCAAGGATCAAGACTAGAGACCAAGACTAGAGACCACAATCAGACAGAGACAGACAGACAGACAGACAGACAGACAGACAGACAGACAGACAGACAGACAGACACACACACACACCACAGTAAAAGGCTGTGAATCCGAGTCTTTCTTCTTCGCTGCAGAAACATTTTTCCCAAAACTCTGAGATTTGAGCTCGAACTTCGTCACAAACAGATTTCAGCTTTTCACATTTTAACCGAGTGAGACGCTGCAGCTCCAGGTCCATCTGCAACACAGGGCACAGGGTCTGACAGGGTCTAACATGGTTTAACAGAGTCTAACAGGGTCCGACAGGGTCCGACAGGGTCCGACAGGGTCCGACAGGGTCTGACAGGGTCTGACATGGTTTAACAGAGTCTAACAGGGTCCGACAGGGTCCGACAGGGTCCGACAAGGTCTGACAGGGTCTGACAGGGTTTAACAGGGTCTAACGCCTCCATATCACGATGTAGCAAGTATAGTCCATGCTCGTGTTGTCTACACTTCTTTGACCATCGGCTTTTCTTTTGATTACGTCTTTTCTCCGATAAAAACAAACTATCGCCAATGCATCCTCTTCGTCCGCCATGTGTGTTTACTCTGAAGTCACGCTTGATCTCGCGAGACTCGGGGGGGGAGGGGTTTCGTGTGTGGTTTGCGTGATTTTTGCCGTGTGGCTGCGCACCACACACTGTACGACCAAAGTGGTTAGACCCGTGATTTTTTATCTCCCTGTGTGGGGTCTCACACAGAGAAAAATCGGCCGACAATTTTAAAATCGTCTCGTGTGAACCAGGCTTAACAGGGTCTAACAGGGTCTAACAGGGTACAGGGTCTATCCAGTGCAATACCACCCCGGACCAGAGGGGGTGAATTATCCAATGCTAATGTGTAGCCCCCGCGGCATGCACATGCATGACAGTCTGAGGTACTCACATGCATGACAGTCTGAGGTACTCACATGCATGACAGTCTGAGGCTGTACTCACATGCATGACAGTCTGAGGTACTCACATGCATGACAGTCTGAGGTACTCACATGCATGACAGTCTGAGGCTGCACTCACATGCATGACAGTCTGAGGTACTCACATGCATGACAGTCTGAGGTACTCACATGCATGACAGTCTGAAGCTGCACTCACATGCATGACAGTCTGAGGTACTCACATGCATGACAGTCTGAGGTACTCACATGCATGACAGTCTGAGGTACTCACATGCATGACAGTCTGAGGTACTCACATGCATGACAGTCTGAGGTACTCACATGCACGACAGTCTGAGGTACTCACATGCATGACAGTCTGAGGCTGCACTCACATGCATGACAGTCTGAGGTACTCACATGCATGACAGTCTGAGGTACTCACATGCATGACAGTCTGAGGTACTCACATGCATGACAGTCTGAGGTACTCACATGCATGACAGTCTGAGGTACTCACATGCATGACAGTCTGAGGTACTCACATGCATGACAGTCTGAGGCTGCACTCACATGCATGACAGTCTGAGGTACTCACATGCACGACAGTCTGAGGTACTCACATGCACGGCAGTCTGAGGTACTCACATGCACGACAGTCTGAGGTACTCACATGCACGACAGTCTGAGGTACTCACATGCACGACAGTCTGAGGTACTCACATGCATGACAGTCTGAGGCTGCACTCACATGCATGACAGTCTGAGGTACTCACATGCACGACAGTCTGAGGTACTCACATGCACGGCAGTCTGAGGTACTCACATGCACGACAGTCTGAGGTACTCACATGCACAACAGTCTGAAGCTGTACTCACATGCATGACAGTCTGAGGCTGTACTCACATGCATGACAGTCTGAGGTACTCACATGCATGACAGTCTGAGGTACTCACATGCATGACAGTCTGAGGCTGCACTCACATGCATGACAGTCTGAGGTACTCACATGCACGACAGTCTGAGGTACTCACATGCACGGCAGTCTGAGGTACTCACATGCACGACAGTCTGAGGTACTCACATGCACGACAGTCTGAGGTACTCACATGCACGACAGTCTGAGGTACTCACATGCATGACAGTCTGAGGCTGCACTCACATGCATGACAGTCTGAGGTACTCACATGCACGACAGTCTGAGGTACTCACATGCACGGCAGTCTGAGGTACTCACATGCACGACAGTCTGAGGTACTCACATGCACAACAGTCTGAAGCTGTACTCACATGCATGACAGTCTGAGGCTGTACTCACATGCATGACAGTCTGAGGTACTCACATGCATGACAGTCTGAGGCTGCACTCACATGCATGACAGTCTGAGGTACTCACATGCACGACAGTCTGAGGTACTCACATGCACGACAGTCTGAGGTACTCACATGCACGACAGTCTGAGGTACTCACATGCACAACAGTCTGAAGCTGTACTCACATGCATGACAGTCTGAGGCTGTACTCACATGCATGACAGTCTGAGGTACTCACATGCATGACAGTCTGAGGTACTCACATGCATGACAGTCTGAAGCTGCACTCACATGCATGACAGTCTGAGGTACTCACATGCATGACAGTCTGAGGTACTCAAATGCATGACGGTCTGAGGTACTCACATGCATGACAGTCTGAGGTACTCAAATGCATGACAGTCTGAGGTACTCACATGCATGACAGTCTGAGGTACTCACATGCATGACAGTCTGAGGTACTCACATGCATGACAGTCTGAGGTACTCACATGCATGACAGTCTGAGGTACTCACATGCATGACAGTCTGAGGTACTCACATGCATGACAGTCTGAGGCTGCACTCACATGCATGACAGTCTGAGGTACTCACATGCATGACAGTCTGAAGCTGCACTCACATGCATGACAGTCTGAGGTACTCAAATGCATGACAGTCTGAGGTACTCACATGCATGACAGTCTGAGGTACTCAAATGCATGACAGTCTGAGGTACTCACATGCATGACAGTCTGAGGTACTCACATGCATGACAGTCTGAGGTACTCACATGCACGACAGTCTGAGGTACTCACATGCATGACAGTCTGAGGTACTCACATGCATGACAGTCTGAGGTACTCACATGCATCACAGTCTGCATGAGGCTGGTTCCCTCTGGGACCTTGGTGGCCTCCTCTCTCTCGTTCGCACTAATCTTCAGTTTCTCACACAGACTCTGGATCTGATCCTGGATCTGTTTGTTCTGCTGCTGGAGCGAAGATCTACGACTCTGCAGCTGAAGACACACATTGAAAACACACATATTGCCCATTCCTCTTTGCAAAACAACACACACTCAGATTAGATGAGAACGTTTCACATGGATTCAGGTCTGGACTGTGTCTGGGGGGACTGGGGATGTCTCACCTGCTCCAGCTGAAGTCCCAGAGCCTCCAGTCTCTCTGAGCTCAAACAGAACTGGTTTGAGTCCAGGTCTGGGTCTGGTCTCTGGTTTAAGTCCCACATCAGGTCTTGGATTTGGTCTTTGAGAGTCCTGAAGAGAAGCTCACGTCGGCTCTGAAAAAACAGTTTAAAAATGAAACATGTTCTGTTCTGGGTCTGGCTACTGCCCTTGTCCTCTCTGTGAGACAGGCCTCCTCTCTGACAATGTTTAAAACCAGGTTAAAGACGGTTCTGTTTAGCTGTGCTACAACTGAGGGATTTTATATTTTTATCTTTTTTTTAATGTACTGTGATTATTTATGATTTGAATGCTTTCTTGTTTTGTTCAGCACTTTGAATTGCCTTGTGTATGAATTGTGCTATACAAATAAACTTGCCTTGCCTTGCTTCTCTGGTCTGGGTCTGGTCTCTCACCTTCTCCTCTCTCTGGCTCCTCACATGCTCTGTCAGATCCTCCAGAGTCCGCAGAGTTGGGACTTCTCTGGTGGACATGTTGCTTGGACATGTTCCTAGGACTCGGCACAGCTCCTGGTCCTGGTGGAGCAGATCTTGGAGCTGCTCAAGTCTCTGGTTCTTCTCCTTCAGGAGGTAGTCCAGTGTGGTGCGGAGGTCCTGCTCAGCCTGGAGGAGGCTCAGGCCAGAGTCCTCCTGATGAAGAGGAGAACATGACTCAGTCCTTGGACATGTGTGAGGTCCTGGATTTGTCTCAAGTGGAAGTGAAGTCTGAAGGACTGACTTTAATGCATGTATTTGACCAGAGTGCAGAGAAAACAGCTAACGGTAAGGCATGAGCTACTGCTATGAGCTACAGGCTAACTATAAGGAGCTAATGCTATAAGCAAATGATGCGAGCTAACACGGGGTCATATGGTATTACTGGCTTATAGCTGTCCCTCTCAAGAGGCATCCACTGCAGACTTCACATGGGCTACTCAGAATTTTTTTCCATAGAACTCAATCAGACCTAAGCTGACACAGAAGCTGACAGAGAACCTAACAGAGAACCTCACAGAGAACCTACAGCTTTCAAAAGGAGGATCCTGTGGGTATTAAAGAACAACTCACCCTCAAATCCACTTTTTTTTCCTGATAAACTGTATAAATGAGTGTCCAATAGTGTTGTCTACATGTCCTTATCATTATTTTGACATTTTAGTGCAAACTTGTTCAAAATCCAATTTTTGTGTACAAAACCGTCTGTTCAGCGCCTCTCACGTTTGAACAGCACTTACTACATTTGAATTTAGTGGTTGGCAGAGGAGGTGCCATCATACGTCACAGTGCCATCATACGTCACCAAGTCTGCCGCTGTGGTATAAAAGCTGACCCCTCCCCTAGAGGCTCTCGTAGAGTGTTGGAGTTGGATCAGAGAGCGAGCGAGTTTTTTCACAGCGATTATCAGGTTTGCGTTTGCGAGAGAAGTCCTCCACCTCCCAAGACCGCACAGAAGCTGTGGAGCTGGCGTCGCTGTGTTCACTCTCCATCATTGACACGGCCAATGCTGATGTCAAGTGTCAATCACAGCTTAGACCCGCCCAACATTCACCCCCCCGCCTGTCCCCTTTGGTCCTCCAGGCTACGCCCATTTGGAGGGAGATTTGAACAGGAAATGTGAGTGACGTAAGCCTCGAGGAGCGGGGGTGAGAACCTCTTTAAAGTGTCCCTTGTTGTCCTGAATTTTTTTCTTGTTAAATCCTTTTCTATAAATCCACACTTCCCGGTCTAGCTCCGCGCTGATCAGCAGCTCTGATTGGTCAGAACTCTGCCCTCTGTGCATGAGAACCACACACGCATATTTGGCGCAAAGCATCATGGGAACTGGTCCACTGCGCAGAACCGGGAGGACCAGACGATGCCCAAATATGGGCGAGTTCTGCTAATCCTTCCGACCCAATGGTGAGGCACCACTGAGCAGAAGCCATTGATTTGAACAGGATGTCATCTTGGATCACCGGGACTTGGGCGGAGCTTACCTATGGGGGGCGGGGCTTACCTCTGGCGGGTGGGGCTTACCTCTGGCGGGTGGGGCTTACCTCTGGGGGGCAGAGCTGCAGTTCTGAACACACATTGTTAATTTCTCGTCGACTCGATTCAACGCTTTTCTCCAAACGAAGTTTTAGACGAAGTTCTTCAGAGATCATCATGTCCAACAGTGTCTGAACCACAGAAAGAGAGGTCTGAGCGGAGTCTGCAGGGTCTGAGGTCTGAGCGGAGTCTGCAGGGTCTGAGGTCTGAGCGGAGTCTGCAGGGTCTGAGGTCTGAGTGGAGTCTGCAGGGTCTGAGGTCTGAGCGGAGTCTGCAGGGTCTGAGGTCTGAGCGGAGTCTGCGGGGTCTGAGGTCTGAGCGGAGTCTGCGGGGTCTGAGCGGAGTCTGCAGGGTCTGAGGTCTGAGTGGAGTCTGCAGGGTCTGAGTGGAGTCTGCAGGGTCTGAGGTCTGAGTGGAGTCTGCAGGGTCTGAGGTCTGAGTGGAGTCTGCAGGGTCTGAGGTCTGAGTGGTGTCTGCAGGGTCTATGGTCTGAGCGGTGTCTGCAGCGTCTGAGGTCTGAATTGAGCCCAGTCCTGGTCCAGTCTTGCTTCAGACCTGGTCCTCACCTTAATGTGCTCTCTCACAGAGTCAGTCCGCTCCAGTCTCTGTTCTTCTGAAATCCCGATTTCTTCCCAAACATCTTTGAGTCGAATCAGAGCCAAGTTCAGGCACGACACGGTCTCCTCGGCAACAACCTCACTACAACAAAAAGGTTAAGATTTTTTTTTAAATGTCAAATGGGGAAATGTCAGTGTTGCATCGCCAGGTACACAAACAATAATTCTATACTTTAAAAATAAAATAAAATCTCTACATGTACAATAAAGCTGTGACCTGTCCTGCTCCACCTCAGCTGCTGTGACCTATAGTGCTGAGGCATTTTAATACTTTTGTTTGCTATTTTTATAATTATCTATTTATTTGCTTTGTTTATCCATCCATACATCTAAAAGTATAGGTAGTATAAAACCCTCCGTAATCTATTAAAGCTGGGGTACGTGACATTAAAGCCAGGGTATGCATCTTTCAGACCACACCGATATAACTGTAATGAAGCCACGTCTCTACTTCCTGACCACAGTTTGCTTTTATCACTAGTTGTGTGTTTCTGGCCTTTGTCACATCTTTAATGCAGATTTTTCAGACATAATAGTGAAAAATAGAGGACCACCCTGACTCAGCCAATCAGCTCTCACCTCAAAGAGTCAAATAGTGATGCAGAAATACATTGTTTTTTTAATAAAATGACGACAGTGTGTTGTTGTGTGTTATTCATGAGGCTAAAGTTACGTACCCCAGCTTTAAACACGAGTTATTAGCTAGTTATTACAGCTGTATGGATCTGTACTGTCTCTGGTATTTATATAAAAGTAAAGTTAGCAAACATACACAGACTCACCTCTTCCTCATGTCCCGCTTCAAAACGCAGAAATCATCAGGGAAAAACCAAATCCTGAAGCTCAAACATGGAGCTAAAGCTAACCCGAGTTTAGTGGCCGGAGTTTAACCCGAGACACGGACGAAGATCGGACTAAACTGGACTAAACAGATTCAAAACACGCAGTCTGAAGGGCGGCCTCTGATTGGCTGTTGTGGGAGAACGTGTACTGTGGCGAGGGCAGCAGACAGGGGCGGGGTCACAGTGAGGCAGACGGAGCACCGCCCGCGTGTGTGAGACTGAAGCGGAACAACGATTTACATGATCAGAATCAGAATCAGAATCAGAATCATTTTTATTGCCACGTAAGTAACAGGAGGTCACAGACTTGGAAATTGCTTTGGCTCAGTGCAACAGTCAAAAAGAGATAATAAAAATAAGAATAAAAAACACTTCTAAAGAATAAATTTAAATGTAAAATAGAGTTACAGTTACTATTTACAATATACAAGTGCACATGGTGCACACAATGTAAGGTGACAGCAGTACAGTGAAGTAAAGTGACATATGATGGGCAGTAAAGTGACTTTATAAAGGGCGGGGACAGGTTAAGAAGTGTTCAAGAGTCCAACAGCAGAGGGGAAGAAACTGTTCTTGTGGCGGGAGGTTCTAGTCCTGATGGACCGCAGCCTCCTGCCTGAGGGGAGTGGTTGGAATAGTCCATGTGCAGGTGAGAGGGGAGTGGTTGGAATAGTCCATGTGCAGGTGAGAGGGGAGTGGTTGGAATAGTCCATGTGCAGGTGAGAGGGGAGTGGTTGGAATAGTCCATGTGCAGGTGAGAGGGGAGTGGTTGGAATAGTCCATGTGCAGGTGAGAGGGGTCGGCTGTGATACGACCAGCCCGGCCTCGAGCTCGGGCGACGTACAAGTCCTGCAGCGATGGAAGGCTGCGGCCGATCACTTCCTCTGCAGAGCGCACTGACTGTGGCTCCAGCGAACCACACGGTGATGGAGGAGGTGATGGAGGAGGTGATGGAGGAGGTGAGGATGGACTCGATGATGGCCGTGTAGAACTGCACCAACATCTGTGCAGGCAGCTTGGCTTTCCTGAGCTGCCGCAGGAAGTACATCCTCTGTTGGGCCTTCTTGATGAGGGAGCTGATGGTCGGCTCCCACTTGAGGTCCTGGGTGATGGTGGTGCCCAGGAAACGGAAGGACTCCACAGAGGTGATGGGGGAGTCCATCACGGAGGGTGGGGGCGGGGGGACAGTGCTCTTCCTGAAGTCCACAATCATCTCCACTGTCTTCTGGGCGTTCAGCTCCAGGTTGTTACCACTGCACCAGGACACCAGCCGGTCCACCTCCCTCCTGTAGGCGGACTCATCGTTGTTGGAGACGAGTCCAATGAGGGTGGTGTCGTCCGCGAACTTGATCAGCTTCACGGAGTCGTGGCTGGAGGTGCAGTGGTTGGTGTACAGGGAGAAGAGCAGGGGAGAAAGAACACAGCCCTGTGGGGCTCCTGTATTTATAATCCGAGAGTCCGAGACATTCTTCCCCAGACGCACTCGCTGCTTCCTGTCCGTCAGGAAGTCAGTGATCCACCTGCATGATACAGAACAACTCGACGAAACACGGACTAAAATGACATAATATTAGTTATGGTCATGTTATTTTAGTATTTTAGACAGTTATTACTTAATATTTACAGTCTATGGACATCACTAACCTTCATTATTGACTGCACAACAATAATCAAACAGATCACAACGGCAACGGAACGCTTCACCCCCATGGAACATTCTACACTTTTAAAATGCATGTAAATAACTGTTTGTAAATATTGATATTATTGTTGAAATTATTGTTAGTGTCGTTATTAATTGTATTCACGTTATTTCTTTATCTAAATTTGCTGTGAAATATGAATAAATATACAGCAGTGATTTTTTTAAATATTTTTTTTTTCTTCACACGCAAACAAAATAGTGCCACACGATACAGTCTAGTAAAAGGGGAAAAGGATATGGAAAGATTATGAAGGAAAGACAGTAGCTCAGTTGGTAGAACATTGGCCTTTGACCCTGAAGGTTGTGGGTTTGAGCCCAGCACAAGACCTTCTCCACCGACTCCCACTGAGGTCTGCTGTCGTTGTGTACTTGGGCAAGACACTTAACCCCACTTTGCCGAAAGCCCCCGCTGAAAGATCAAGGCTCCTGTGGACTCAGCACCCGCAGGAGGATCAGTGAGGAGCTGATGTTATGTGTGCTGAGTGCAACTCTGACTCAGAAATGGATTAAAGGGAAGAAGATGGACGATGAGAACCATGTAGTCCATAAGGTTATTCTCTCTGGTCTCTATCCCTCTCTCTGGTCTCTCCCCCTCTCTGGTCTCTCCCTCTCTCTGGTCTCTCCCTCTCTCTGGTCTCTCCCTCTCTCTGGTCTCTCCCTCTCTCTGGTCTCTCCCTCTCTCTGGTCTCTCCCTCTCTCTGGTCTCTCCCTCTCTCTGGTCTCTCCCTCTCTCTGGTCTCTCCCTCTCTCTGGTCTCTCCCTCTCTCTGGTCTCTCCCTCTCCCTGGTCTCTCGCTCTCTCTGGTCTCTCCCTCTCTCTGGTCTCTCCCTCTCTCTGGTCTCTCCCTCTCTAATCCTGAGAGTTAAATCTACAGAAAATAAGTTGTGTGTTTTAACAGTGAGACACACGATACAAATATAAAAAGGAAATTAAAAGTATTTATTCTATTTTCAGTCTGAGAAGGGTTCACTCCTGGTTCACTCCTGGTTCACTCCTGGTTCACTCCTGGTTCACTCCTGGTTCACTCCTGGTTCACTCCTGGTTCACTCCTGGTTCACTCCTGGTTCACTCCTGGTTCACTCCTGGTTCACTCCTGGTTCATCAGACTCTCCAGGAGACGGCTGCTGTTGGTTATCGCTGTTGTAACAACAGTGATTCTGAGACCTGAAAAACAAAATGGTCTGTAACACAGGTGTAATGTGGGGTCTGTAACACACAGTGATGGGAATAACGGCGTTACTAGTAACGGCGTTACTAACGCCGTTACTTTTTTCAGTAACGAGTAATCTAACTAATTACTTTGACAGTAACTATAACGCCGTTATCATTTCCGACATCCCGTTACTGCGCGTTACTCAAGACGCACAATGAACGTGTTGTCATGAGAGAAGGGAGGATGAGAAAACCTCTCAGCAATTATTGGCTGATGTAAATCATATTTCCTTTACAATCTACATGTCTACAGTTGAGAGGATGGCTCATAAATTGTGTTTTTGAAACAAATATGGGTCTTAATCGCGCTCATCCACGGCTTGTATCACCGTGAGGTCAGCCACAGAGTAGCGCATGTGAGCGCAGAAGTCGGCTGCATACAATTCCATCGATAAGCTCCTTGCTCTTCCTGGTTTATCTGCTAAGGACAGCAACAGGTTTGGCTAACATACATATAACACATTTTTACATAATCTAAAATGCACATAGGGAAATTTTTCAATTACTATAGGAATGATAAGAAAGAGAGGTGAAGTGTAAGACGGTTGATTTTAGAAATTGGATGCAGCCGGCTGCAGCAAAACAGAGGAGTTTACGGAGGACACACGCGTTTTGTTTTACTTTTTAAAACTCATTGGACTCATTTCCAAATGGAGGATTACATATCTACGCTCAAACCATTCACTGGATTTAAACAAGGAACTGGTCTGAACCGAAGTGGACTGTGCAGGTCATTTATAAGATATAGCTATAAGGTAAGACCCATAACTCATAGTTTTGCGTTTTGTATGAACAAACAATGCGGGCATAAAACATATTTTGCTGTAGCCAAACAAATTGTCCACTTGATTTATATGATGTATATGTTCATCTGATTGGACTGAAGTCAGTGCTTCACCAGCCTCACCGCTCGTCACCGGTGTTTCCACATTCACAGTGGCGGGCTTTACAGCACAGACAGAGATGAAGAGTGAACAGGACTTCAGCAGCAAAACAGCCTTTTCTAGATGGAAATATTGGCACTGTTAAAGGTAAAAATGCGCACGTCGGGTGCACATTATGTTCCAGAACAAAACGAAAAAGTAACGCAATAGTTACTTTTACTGGTAACTAGTTACTTTTATAGTGGAGTAACTCCGTTAGTAACTCAGTTACTTTTTGGGAGAAGTAACTAGTAACTATAACTAATTACTTTTTCAAAGTAACGTGCCCAACACTGGTGACACAGGTGTAATGTGGGGTCTGTAACACAGGTGTAATGTGAGGTCTGTGACACAGGTGTAATGTGGGGTCTGTGACACAGGTGTAATGTGAGGACTAGGGGTGTGACAATATATCGCATTTGCCAAGTATCGATAGATAAAAAAAAAATAATAATAATAATTTGACTTTTTTTTTTGTACAATAAAAAAAAAAATTGGTATCAATACTTAATATATGGCTACATTACGCATCTCCATTCTATTTATCATGAAATAAAGTGTAGTTTTTCTTTTATTTATGCCCTAAATTGGCATATTGTATATTTCTGACCAATATATCGATAAACGTCATATCGTGATAAAATCGTTATCGTGATAATATCGTTACCGTGAGCTTTATATCGTGTATCGTATCGTATCGTGAGGTACCCTTAGGTTCCCACCCCTAGTGAGGACACAGGTGTAATGTGAGGACACAGGTGTAGTGTGAGGACACAGGTGTAGTGTGAGGACACAGGTGTAGTGTGAGGACACAGGTGTAGTGTGAGATCACTGGACTCAGACCTTTCTCTTTGCTCAGGAAGCGCAGAGCAGAGATCTCTGAGAACGTGCAACCTCCTAAAAACACCACCAGGACTCTTCTGTGGGAGTCCGAAAGACTGGGTCCAGAACCTGGACCAGGACGAGGAGCAGGACCCTCAGATCCCGAGGTGTTTCCTATAAGAAAACAAGAATACAAACGTGTCAGTGATGGTCCACTGACACGTGGGTGTCTATGGCTCCTCCCACTGAGGCTCCTCCCACTGAGGCTCCTCCCACTGGACACATGGCCTCCGACCTCTTTCACGACCTCTCACCTGTAACGCTGAACTCGTGTCCGTTTAAAAGTCGAGTCACTTCCTCCAAACCGGACCAGCCGCCACGCTCCAGGACCTGAAGATAGACCAGGATCAGAACGGGTTCAGACAAGGGTTTGTCCTGGTTCAGTCCTGCTTTAGTCCTGTTTCTTTTAGTCCTGCTTCAGTCCTGATTCAGTCCTGATTCAGTCCTGATTCAGTCCTGATTCAGTCCTGATTCAGTCCCAGTTCAGACCCGGTTCAGACCTGTTGGATCAGGCTGCAGCTCAGTGGGGCATAAGCTCCACTGAAGACGTAGGACATGTCTCTGGGGACGTGGAGGTCGTAGTCCTGGACCTGAGGGACCTGGGCAAAAAGACCAGAGACTTCAGATTACAGAAGCACTTGTATCCAGAGTGAGATCCACAAAGTCTATCTGATCTTAACTCAGGGTCGAGCAGCTGAGTGGTCTCAAACCTCATTACTGTTGGTGAGACCACCTTGCTGCTCTCTGATTGGTTGCCACACGTGAGCGAGGAAGTAAAGCAATTTTCATCTTTTCATTTGCAGCATGCGGTGAGTTTCTGTAACCATCGCCTTCACATGTTAAAGGAATAGTTCACCGTTTTTACATACTGACATATGTTCTTACCTTACCTTAGACTAGTTAATACGTACCTGTCTGGTCTTAGTCCGTGCGCTCTGTCATGCAAACGGAGCAAAAACTGGAGCACAACCGCAGCCTCCTCTGTATATTTTGTAGCACCAAAAGGTAGCTCCCGCTAGAAGCTACCAAACTCTTCCAAGTGTTCCCTATTAAATGTATATAGTTACGTGACGTGTTACACTGCAAAGTATAGTAACACAGAAATGTAACAGTCGATTTTCTCAGCGGATAAAACGGGTACTATATTGTGAGGCGTAGTAATCTGAGGAGCGCTACGTCCGCGCACTAACTTCTCTCCGGAGACTTCTCTCTCGCTCACTTCCGTCAATAGAAGCAGCGTGACTTGTAGTACACACAGTAGCAGCGAGAGAGAAGTCTCTGGAGAGAAGTTAGTGCGCGGACGTAGCGCTCCTAACTTCTCTGCGCACTAACTTCTCTCCGGAGACTTCTCTCTCGCTGCTACTGTGTGTACTACAAGTCACGCTGCTTCTATTGACGGAAGTGAGCGAGAGAGAAGTCTCCGGAGAGAAGTTAGTGCGCGGACGTAGCGCACCTCAGATTACTACGCCTCACAATATAGTACCCGTTTTATCCGCTGAGAAAATCGACTGTTACATTTCTGTGTTACTATACTTTGCAGTGTAACACGTCACGTAACTATATACATTTAATAGGGAACACTTGGAAGAGTTTGGTAGCTTCTAGCGGGAGCTACCTTTTGGTGCTACAAAATATACAGAGGAGGCTGCGGTTGTGCTCCAGTTTTTGCTCCGTTTGCATGACAGAGCGCACGGACTAAGACCAGACAGGTACGTATTAACTAGTCTAAGGTAAGGTAAGAACATATGTCAGTATGTACAAACGGTGAACTATTCCTTTAACTCCCTGCAACCATGTAAACGTCTCCCTCTCCTCGCCTCCCTCTCCTCATCCTCCCCTCTCCTCCCAACCTCCCCTCTCCCTCTCCTCCCAACCTCTTCTCCCTCTCCTCCTCCTCCCTCTCCATCCTCCCACTCCTCTTCCTCCTCCTCCCCCTCCCTCCCTCTCCTTTTCCTCCTCCTTCCAACCTCTTCTCCTCCTCCTCCTCCCTCTCCATCCTCCCCCCTCCCTCTCCTCTTCCTCCTCATCCCAACCTCCTCCTTCCTCCACCCTCCCTCCCTCTCCTCCTTTGGTAAAGTTCAGTGAGTGTCCAGGAGGGGGTGCTGTACCAGGTTGAGTTTGCGGCTCAAAGCTCTGAAGTGACTCTTTTTGGCCAAAGATGAAAAAGCCTCGGACAGTTTCCCTGAAACACAGAGAACAGACTCAGGAACAGAAACACAAGGTTTACTGCCACAACAAAACAACATGACACTAGTATCAGGATTCTAACACGAATGCCCCCCTCCCTTACGCGGGGGACTTCCAATGAATTCCCCTCAAAATATTCTTTTTCCACTCATTCATAAAGGCCAGGTCTGTACAGATTCCCCGAGGGGAGCTGTAACCGTGGGAATCATGTCTGGTTTGGGATCAGTGCTCTCCTGCCGTGTCTTGGTACGTTTGCAGTGGTCCATACTTGAATGTCCGTCTCACTCTGTCCTGGACCACAGGTTTAGTGACTGTCGTACCTGCAGGGGTCTCACTCTGCTCCTGGACCAGAGGTTTAGTGACTGTCGTACCTGCAGGGGTCTCACTCTGTCCTGGACCACAGGTTTAGTGACTGTCGTACCTGCAGGGGTCTCACTCTGCTCCTGGACCAGAGGTTTAGTGACTGTCGTACCTGCAGGGGTCTCACTCTGCTCCTGGACCAGACCCAGGTTCTTCAAAGAGGCAAAGGTCAGGAGATGCTCGAAACCATAGGACTGAAGACACATCAGAAGAGGACACATGAGAAGAGAACAGATGTCCAATGCCTGTGGGAGGGGCCAGTGACGTCACTGTGGGAGGGGCCTGTGACATCACAGTCAGAGGGGCCTCACCTGTATATACTGCGTCTTCAGCGATCGCAGATCTTTGGGCAAAAGTCCTGAAACCATAAAGTTCAGTTAAAAAGTCATATGTCAAAGGTCACGTTCAGGTTAAAGGTTGTTACCATTCTCTGTGAGTGACAGCAGACACAGCAGACGCAGAGAATCCATCTTGGACACCTGTCAATCACACAGACCTTAAGGCACGATCACACACACACGCACACACAGACACACGCACACACAGACACACACCTGTCTGTTGATGTGCTCCTCGATGAAGGACACACACTCTCTGATGTCGCAGCCCTCGAGCAAAGCTGGAACAGACACATTTTAAAGTTGTTGATTGTTCAGATTGTCGTCTTTAGATCTCAAATCCTCACAATGTTCTGTGCGCAGCAGCTCCTGAAAGTCCTGCTTCGTCTTCCTCTTCATCATGGCCTCACTCGCCCCGATATCTGAGAGTTAACAATACTAGCATTAGCTTTTTAGCAGCATAGCAATAGCTCATAGGCATCATTAGCATGAGCTCACGTAGGCTGAGCAGACGGTGCTCTTGTTTCAGTCCCTTCAGTTCCTCGGATACAAACGTCTTCATCTGTTTGATGTCCATCCCTCTGCGTTTCTATAAAACATGTTTGATTATTAAAAACAAACTGTTATTACGCTGCTATTGCATTAACAATTATATAAGTTGCATATTTTCTTGACCCCTGAGGTACCCCACAGGTGAAGTCTCTACATCCTGAACTGTGTGGGTCCCAGTATGGACCCCTGAGGTACCCCACAGGTGAAGTCTCTACATCCTGAACTGTGTGGTTCTGTCGTCTCTCACACAAACAAACGTTTCTTCGCTCGTTCACTTCTGCCACAGATTTACATTTTGTTTGTTATTGATACAGTAGAGTATTGGCAGAGTAGTTCAGGATAGTGTGGTATAGTCCAGTACAGTACAGTAGTGCAGTACCATCAAATAAAATATAGTACATTACTGAAGTATAGTGTGGTCAAGTATGGTGTGGTACAGTACAGTGTAGTGTTGTAGACATTATAGTGTAGAACACTCACGTCATAGGACGTCTGCAGAGCTCGTGCTTTCTGAGACAAAAGTCCGAACACGTTTGAAAAATGTTCGTTTCGAATCTCATTAAAAACCTGAAACATGAGATCAACTTTTACACTTTATTTACACAATTATTACACTTTATTTACACAATTAAGACTTGTTTGTGTTGCCGATGTGATGGTTGTGTTTCTGTGTTGTGTGTTCTGCAATAGTGTGTGTGTTGCTGTAGTGTGTATTACAGGAAATGTGTGTTGCCGTGGTACTTTGTGTGTGTTGTGGTGATGTCAAACCTTGTCCTGAGAGTTCAACATGACTTTGATGCTTTTCTCAGACGCAGTGACATCAGGACTGAACTCCACACAACCTAACACAAACACACACAGACACACACACACACACACACAGACACACACAGACACACACGCACACACACACAGACACACGCACACACACACACAGACACACACACACGCACGCACACACAGACACACACACACAGACGTACACAGGCACACGCACAAGAATCACATTATTACATATTCTAATCCTCACCACAAAATTAATGAAACACAGACAAAAGGTCTGGACCAATCAGAGTGCAGCGTCTCACCACATTTAATCCTGAAGACGTCGTCCACTAAACCCTCGTAGACGAGCTGCGAGCAGAGCGGCGTGACCAGGTCCACGTCTGCAACAACATACAACATTATTATTATTATTATTATCAGAATCAGATCAGAATAATTTTTATTGCCACGTAAGTAACAGGAGGTCACAGACTTGGAAATTGCTTTGGCTCAGTGCAACAGTCAGAAAGAGATAATAAAAATAAGAATAAAAAACACTTCTAAAGAATACATTTTAATTTAAAATAGAGTTACAGTTACTATTTACAATCTACAAGTGCACATGGTGCACACAATGTAAGGTGACAGCAGTACAGTGAAGTAAAGTGACGTATGATGGGCAGTAAAGTGACTTTATAAAGGGCGGGGGGACAGGTTAAGAAGTGTTCAAGAGTCCAACAGCAGAGGGGAAGAAACTGTTCTTGTGGCGGGAGGTTCTAGTCCTGATGGACCGCAGCCTCCTGCCTGAGGGGAGTGGTTGGAATAGTCCATGTGCAGGTGAGAGGGGAGTGGTTGGAATAGTCCATGTGCAGGTGAGAGGGGTCGGCTGTGATACGACCAGCCCGGCCTCGAGCTCGGGCGACGTACAAGTCCTGCAGCGATGGAAGGCTGCGGCCGATCACTTCCTCTGCAGAGCGCACAATGCGCTGTAGTCTCTGTTTGTCCCTGACTGTGGCTCCAGCGAACCACACGGTGATGGAGGAGGTGAGGATGGACTCGATGATGGCCGTGTAGAACTGCACCAACATCTGTGCAGGCAGCTTGGCTTTCCTGAGCTGCCGCAGGAAGTACATCCTCTGCTGGGCCTTCTTGATGAGGGAGCTGATGGCCGGCTCCCACTTGAGGTCCTGGGTGATGGTGGTGCCCAGGAAACGGAAGGACTCCACAGAGGTGATGGGGGAGTCCATCACGGAGGGTGGGGGCGGGGGGACAGTGCTCTTCCTGAAGTGGGCGGCACGGTGGCTGAGTGGATAGCACTCTCGCCTCTCAGCAAGAAGGTCCTGGGTTCGAATCCCGGTCGGACCAGGGCCTTTCTGAGTGGAGTTTGCATGTTCTCCCCGTGTCTGCGTAGGTTTCCTCCGGGTACTCCGGTTTCCCCTACCACTAAAAATATGTCCAATAGTTCTAGCATGCGCCTCCTGTACTGCGACCCCGCTCCCATCTCTGTGTGGAGTGAGAGACAATTGCCCAAAATTAACAATTGTAAACCGCTTTGAGACTCAGATCTGCAGTGAAAAGGCGGTATATAAATAAAGATTACTTACTTACTACTACTGAAGTCCACAATCATCTCCACTGTCTTCTGGGCGTTCAGCTCCAGGTTGTTACCACTGCACCAGGACACCAGCCGGTCCACCTCCCTCCTGTAGGAGACACCAGGACACCAGCCGGTCCACCTCCCTCCTGTAGGAGACACCAGGACACCAGCCGGTCCACCTCCCTCCTGTAGGCGGACTCATCGTTGTTGGAGATGAGTCCAATGAGGGTGGTGTCGTCCGCGAACTTGATCAGCTTCACGGAGTCGTGGCTGGAGGTGCAGTGGTTGGTGTACAGGGAGAAGAGCAGGGGAGAAAGAACACAGCCCTGTGGGGCTCCTGTATTTATAATCCGAGAGTCCGAGACATTCTTCCCCAGACGCACTCGCTGCTTCCTGTCCGTCAGGAAGTCAGTGATCCACCTGCAGGTGGAATCGGGCACGTTGAGCTGGGAGAGCTTGTCCTGGAGCAGGGATGGCAGGATTGTGTTGAAGGCAGAGCTGAAGTCCACGAACAGGACCCTGGCGTAGGTCCCCGGGGAGTCCAGGTGCTGTAGGATGTGGTGGAGGGCCAGGTTGATGCCGTCGTCTACAGATCTGTTGGCTCTGTAGGCGAACTGCAGGGGGTCCAGGAGGGGGGAGGTGAGGGACTTGAGATGGGAGAGAACCAGGCGTTCAAAGGTCTGTAGTCATTGAGTCCTGTGATCCTGGGCTTCTTCGGGACGGGGACAATGATGGAGGATTTGAAGCAGGCCGGGACATGGCAGGACTGCAGAGAGGAGTTGAAAATGTCCGTGAACACAGGAGTAAGCTCACTGGCGCAGTGTCTCAGAGTGGCCGGAGACACGTGGTCCGGGCCAGGAGCTTTGCGGGGGTGCAGCCTCAAGAAGAATTGTTTAATGTATTTAGAGGCTATTGTTAGGCTGGGGGCAGGGCTGATGGGTGGGTCGTTAGAGTAGTGGGGGGTGGGGGTGGGAGAGGTGTCAGGGGCAGCATCAAAGCGACTGAAAAATAAGTTCAGATCGTCAGCTAGCTTGTGGTCGTCAGCACAGGGGGGGGCTTTGGGTTTGTAGTTGGTGATCTCCCGTAGGCCCCTCCAGACAGAAGCAGTATCGTTGTTACCAAACTGCTCCTGTAGTCGTTCTCTGTGCCGGGACTTGGCTGCTTTCAGTTCTTTCCTGAACTGATATTTAGCTGCTTTGTAGCCGCTGCGGTCCCCCTCCCTGAAAGCGGACTCCTTTGCTTTCCTGAGCTGCCGGAGTTTAGCAGTGAACCAGGGTTTGTCGTTGTTATAGATGACCCTGGTCCTTGTTGGAATGATGCTATCCTCACAGAAGTGAATGTATGACGTCAGAGTGTCCGTGTATTCATCCAAACTGTCTGTGGCAGCTCTGAAAAGGTCCCAGTCTGTAGATTCCATGCAGATTCCGGGTATAAACGTTCCATACACAGTACTTGCTCTGCGTCCGCGCATGGCGGTATGTAAACAGAGGCAAGAATGAAAAACAATTTCACGAGGGGAGTAATATGGTTTACAATGAATGAAAAGATATTCCAGAGCAGGAGAGCAGTGCTTGGAGATCACTGTCACATTGTTACAACAGTTTGTACCAGTTTTACCAGTTATTATGATGATCGTGAATTCTCTCATGGTCTGCAGGTGGAGCATGTTTGGATGACCTGTTTGTGGCCCTGGTAGGCGCTCGTCAGTCAGTAACCGACACGTTTGTGCAGCTCAGGCCTGTACTTTGTGCTTGGGATAAAAAAATGTATAATAGTGTAAAAGAGTCCGCGTTAACAGCGACATTAACGTGTGAAACTGACAGCACAGATTATCATTAATACTATTATAATATACTGTAATAACAAACAGGTGAGAGCTGCGAGCAGGTGATCATATTATTATACAGGCACCTCTGTCCATGATGAACACATTCCCGATCGCTGCGTCTCCTCTCGTCCTGGTCTCCTCCTGCTGCAGCTGAGAACGGAACGACTCATACACCATCTGAGGAGGTCCAGAGCAACACTCACTTATATGTACATGCACACACACATACAAACACACACACTGACACATACACACAGACACAGACGCAAGCACACACACACATACAAACACACACTGACACAGACGCAAGCACACAGACACGCACACACAGACGCACTGACGCACACACATACAAACACACACACACACACACACAGACGCACACACATACACAGGCACATGTACAAACACATAAGCACATGTACAAACACACACACACACACACACACTGACGCACACACTTACACACAGGCACGCACATGTAAAAACACACACACACACACAAACCTTGGAAATCCGTCCGATGCCGTAGACTTTAGAAAAGGGTCCAAACAGAGAGTGAAGGAGGTGAAGAGCGCCACCTACAGTCCGAACCCAGCGCTGGTCCCCGGCCTGCAGAGCAGAGACCCACAGTTACAGAAAGAGAGACCCACAGAGAGACCCACAGAGACCCACAGAGAGACCCACAGAGAGACCCACAGAGACCAACAGTTACAGAGAGACCCACAGAGATCCACAGAGATCCACAGAAAGACCCACAGAGACCCACAGAGATCCACAGAGAGACCCACAGAGACCAACAGTTACAGAGAGACCCACAGAGATCCACAGAAAGACCCACAGAGACCCACAGAGTGACCCACAGAGATCCACAGAAAGACCCACAGAGAGACCCACAGAGAGACCCTCAGAGACCCACAGAGAGACCCACAGAGACCCACAGAGACCAACAGTTACAGAGAGACCCACAGAGACCCACAGAAAGACCCACAGAGACCCACAGAGACCCACAGAGAGACCCACATAGAGACCCACAGAGACCAACAGTTACAGAGAGACCCACAGAGACCCACAGAGATCCACAGAGAGACCCACATAGAGACCCACAGAGATCCCCAGAAAGACCCACAGAGAGACCCACAGAGACCCACAGAGAGACCCACAGAGAGACCCACAGAGATCCACAGAAAGACCCACAGAGACCCACAGAGAGACCCAGAGACACACAGTTACAGAGAGACCCACAGAGAAACCCACAGAGATCCACAGAGATCCACAGAAAGACCCACAGAGACCCACAGAGACCCACAGAGAGACCCACAGAAAGACCCACAGAGAGACCCACAGAGAGACCCACAGAGAGACCCACAGAGACCCACAGAGACCCACAGTTACAGAGAGAGAGACCCACAGAGAGACCCACAGAGAGACCCACAGAGGGACCCACAGAGAGACCCACAGAGATCCACAGAGATCCACAGAAAGACCCACAGAGACCCACAGAGATCCACAGAAAGACCCACAGAGAGACCCACAGAGAGACCCACAGAGAGACCCACAGAGAGACCCACAGAGACCCACAGTTACAGAGAGAGAGGCCCACAGAGAGACCCACAGAAAGACCCACAGAGACCCACAGTTACAGAGAGACCCAGAGAGAGACCCACAGAGACCCACAGAGACCCACAGAGACCCACAGAGAGACCCACAGAAAGATCCCGAGCCAGATCCAGAGCCAGATCTAGAGAGAGCCACAGAGAGACTCATAGAAAGCCACAGTCTATGGCCACAACATAGACCACTCAGGGTAACACATGAAAAGTACCAGAAAGGTGTGAGTGAAGAACTCTGGCAGCTCCAGACTGATGACATCATCGTCCATGGGTAACAGGTGGAAGTCCCACTGGTCACATGACACATCTGCACCAATCAGACGCATTCTTATGTAGTTTATGAAATACAACAGCACCAGCTTTATCTACAGGTGATGGTGTTAACAAGAGAGAGACCAGAGAGACCAGAGAGAGAGACAAGAGAGAGACCAGAGAGAGACAAGAGAGAGAGACCAGAGAGAGACCAGAGAGAGAGACCAGAGAGACACCAGAGAGAGAGACCAGAGAGACACCAGAGAGAGAGACCAGAGAGAGACCAGAGAGAGAGACCAGAGAGACACCAGAGAGAGAGACCAGAGAGAGACCAGAGAGAGAGACCAGAGAGAGACCAGAGAGAGACCAGAGAGAGACCAGAGAGAGAGACCAGAGAGAGACCAGAGAGAGAGACAAGAGAGAGACCAGAGAGAGACCAGAGAGAGACCAGAGAGAGACCAGAGAGAGAGACCAGAGAGAGACCAGAGAGAGAGACCTGAGAGAGAGACCAGAGAGAGAGACCAGAGAGAGAGACCAGAGAGAGAGACCAGAGAGAGAGACCAGAGAGAGAGGCCAGAGAGAGAGACCAGAGAGAGAGACCAGAGAGAGAGACCAGAGAGAGAGAGACCAGAGAGAGAGACCAGAGAGAGAGGCCAGAGAGAGAGACCAGAGAGAGAGGCCAGAGAGAGAGACCAGAGAGAGAGAGACCAGAGAGAGAGACCAGAGAGAGAGGCCAGAGAGAGAGGCCAGAGAGAGAGACCACAGTGAGACACAGCTCAACTGGAGACAATACATGTATTTAGAGAGGCAGAAAAGGTCTCCACAGCTGAGAATATGGATTCACAGGACAGATTCAGTACAGAACAGGCTGAAACATGGAGACAAGAGAAAGACTCTGACCTCCAAACACTCCTTGCTCCTCCAGGATCGACTCACACAAGAACAACTGTAAACACACAAATGAGCCGTTTGAGCTTAATTCACTTAAAAAAAAAAAAAGTGTAGTCCTTGGTCACAACAGTACTTATCTCAGGAGGACAAATCGTTCAGAGAATCAAACCAGAAATTCAATAATAAAAATAAAAAACACATAAAGACCAGAGAGAGATCATGAGAGAGACCAGAGAGAGACCAGAGAGAGACCAGAGATCAGAGAGACCATGAGAGAGACCAGAGAGAGACCATGAGAGAGACCAGAGAGAGACCAGAGAGAGACCAGAGAGAGACCAGAGAGAGACCAGAGATCAGAGAGACCATGAGAGAGACCAGAGAGAGACCAGAGAGAGACCAGAGAGAGACCAGAGAGAGACCAGAGAGAGACCAGAGAGAGACCAGAGAGAGACCAGAGAGAGACCAGAGAGACCAGAGATCAGAGAGACCATGAGAGAGACCAGAGAGAGACCAGAGAGAGACCAGAGAGAGACCAGAGAGAGACCAGAGAGAGACCAGAGAGCTTTTTAACTGACACAACTCGACTGATAGAAGCAGACAGAAGTTTGACCTTCAGAGGAGTGAAGATGATCTTGTAGCGTCTCGTTCGTCCTGAGGCTTTGTCAGAATTCACCAGATCTGAACAAAAACAAATATATATATATTTTTTTAAACTTTCTTGATGTTGAGAGTTCTGTTCTCGGGCTCCTCTGCCGGTTACTTACCACAGATCCACCGCACTGTCTGAATCCGCGGCCTGATGAGGAAACACAGTCTGCAGCAAAAACACAACACACTAGCTCAATGAAACCCAATAGGGAAGTGCTCAAGGTGAAAGTTTTCCTCCAACTCGCTCTAGCTCCTATTGACTTGCTATAAAAACCCCTGAACTCCTCTAACCCAGTATTTGTTTGTGTCACACTCACCAATTTGGTTTAGATCAGTGGTTTAGCGCTCTCTGGTGTTTATATTGGGATATTGTCTTTTTAAATCCAGATATGAGCCAATCAGATGCCTTCAGCTTGCCCTAGCAACCATCTTAGCAACCGTCTTAGCAACACGTCTGCCCCTGCTACGCCTCTCAAGAAAAGCCCATATGAGGAAATTGGCTCCAGCTAGCTTAAGTTCAAAGCTAACACTATAGTGATTGACACTCGGTCAGTCTGCTCCGAACATACAGTTTATGATGTAACACTGTTCATGTAATAGTCTGTTGAGTTAGCATTAGCGTTTGCCTCAACATTAGCGTGTTGATAGTTACTCACTGATCGGCAGATGACACCACGGCCTTGTGCTCCACTTTGTACAGTTTGTCCACTTCATGTTGCTGTAATAGTTATGTACATTTACTAGATTAGACATTAGACTAGATTAGATTAGATTTAGACTTTATACCTTGAGCGTGGAAACGTTTGCGATTCGATCCAGCGGACTCATCAAATCTGTGTCAATGAACAAGTCCTTTTTACCGGGAAGCTGCGGAGAAACATGGACTTTAATACAAAGGATTTTTTCAAGCCCTACTCTACCCTACTCTACCCGACCCTACCCTACCCTACCCTACCCTACCCTGGAGTGTTCACTGGTCCTGTTTAACCAGTACCAGGTCCTTCTTTAGTCCCTCTTGGTTCTATCCAGGCTGAGCTGAAAGTGATTGGCCAGAATGCAGCGTTGGAATTTCCTCCAACGCTGGTTTGGTGGGTAGGTTGCTAGGATACGGTACCAGATATTTAAGCGTAACTGAAACACAACCAGGTAAAGGGGAGTAGAGTAGTAGCCAAGTAGAGCTGGTGGAAACACGGTTTTTGAACAGAGGAAAAGGAACAGAGGTTATCGGGAACTCAAACCTCCTCCAGAAGAAAGATGAGTTGATCTCGTGCAATTCTCTTCAGGAGTGAAAAGTCTGGAGCTGGAGGAGCATCTGAGCGTGGGGAGGAAGAGGAGGAGGAGGAGGAGGAGGCCATGATGATCCACAGGAAATCACCAACTCTCACTGCGATCGCTCTGGAAACACGAGAGCAAACATCACTGTGGTTACTATTGTTACACAAGATCAAACATCTAAAATGCACCACTGTTCATGAATGAGGTTTATCAGTGTGTCATGAGGGACCATAGAGCACCTTTAATGGTATCTCACACTACTGCAGTAATGAGGTGTTCCTGAATTCTTAGTCATCTGGCCGTGTGTGGTAAACTGTGTGGTCTTGAATGAGCAGGTTGGGTTAATCTAAACCAGGTCTATAAACAGGACTAGAGCAGGTCTCAAGCATCTCTATATTCATAAAAATGACTTACTAAAGCGGAACCATCATAGCTGTTCACGTTCCCTCCGCAGACAGAATAATAAACCATTTGAACTGTTTTATGCCGCAGAGTCATTTTAAACTCGTTAATTCACCCATAGCACAAAAAAACAACATTTTGTTTCACGACTCGAGTCCGGAAGCTCTCCCGGAAACACCACCGTCAGTGCGGAAGTGAACCGGAAGTTAGTTAGCTCCGAGGCTAAAAACAAGCTTAATATCTTCCTGTCTGCGTCTTAATCACGATACAAATAGTCCAGAATGTGACTTAAACACACCACTGAGAAGCACTCCTGAATCATGAACGCACTGAAGCCTCCCATTCCCTTTATTTCACTGTTAAACCGTGAAACTGTGAAACTGTGTCTGATTCTCCCGGAGAAGCTCATGTTGCCAAATACACGTAATCGACTTTCGGCTTTTTGGAAAAACACAAATACATTATATTTATGAATTATTACACGGTTAATGGAACCAAGACATGATGTTTTGATCAGAATAAACTCCGGTCTAATTGAAAGGAGTTGTGATGAGAACATCCTGTTTTTGACAAAGTTGAAGGAGAAGCGTTCTTCTCCTCAGACCTGGCGCCCGTAGTTTCCGCATAACTGGAGGTAAACATTGTATGGCTTTATGTTTATAGACTTCATGTATGTAAGATAAGATAGACTTTATTGATCTCACACAGGATACATTTTATGTAATGGACACATTAAGTGCGTGTATTCTGAATCCCCACATTACACCTGTATCAAAGACCTCACATTACACCTGTATCAAAGACCTCACATTACACCTGTATCAAAGACCTCACATTACACCTGTATCAAAGACCTCACATTACACCTGTATCAAAGACCTCACATTACACCTGTATCAAAGACCTCACATTACACCTGTATCAAAGGCCTCACATTACACCTGTATCAAAGACCTCACATTACACCTGTATCAAAGACCTCACATTACACCTGTATCAAAGGCCTCACATTACACCTGTATCAAAGACCTCACATTACACCTGTATCAAAGACCTCACATTACACCTGTATCAAAGACCTCACATTACACCTGTATCAAAGACCTCACATTACACCTGTATCAAAGGCCTCACATTACACCTGTATCAAAGACCTCACATTACACCTGTATCAAAGGCCTCACATTACACCTGTATCAAAGACCTCACATTACACCTGTATCAAAGACCTCACATTACACCTGTATCAAAGACCTCACATTACACCTGTATCAAAGACCTCACATTACACCTGTATCAAAGACTTCACATTACACCTGTATCAAAGGCCTCACATTACACCTGTATCAAAGACCTCACATTACACCTGTATCAAAGGCCTCACATTACACCTGTATCAAAGACCTCACATTACACCTGTATCAAAGGCCTCACATTACACCTGTATCAAAGACCTCACATTACACCTGTATCAAAGACCTCACATTACACCTGTATCAAAGGCCTCACATTACACCTGTATCAAAGACCTCACATTACACCTGTATCAAAGACCTCACATTACACCTGTATCAAAGGCCTCACATTACACCTGTATCAAAGGCCTCACATTACACCTGTATCAAAGACCTCACATTACACCTGTATCAAAGGCCTCACATTACACCTGTATCAAAGACCTCACATTACACCTGTATCAAAGGCCTCACATTACACCTGTATCAAAGGCCTCACATTACACCTGTATCAAAGGCCTCACATTACACCTGTATCAAAGACCTCACATTACACCTGTATCAAAGGCCTCACATTACACCTGTATCAAAGACCTCACATTACACCTGTATCAAAGGCCTCACATTACACCTGTATCAAAGACCTCACATTACACCTGTATCAAAGACCTCACATTACACCTGTATCAAAGACCTCACATTACACCTGTATCAAAGACCTCACATTACACCTGTATCAAAGACCTCACATTACACCTGTATCAAAGACCTCACATTACACCTGTATCAAAGACCTCACATTACACCTGTATCAAAGACCTCACATTACACCTGTATCAAAGACCTCACATTACACCTGTATCAAAGACCTCACATTACACCTGTATCAAAGACCTCACATTACACCTGTATCAAAGACCTCACATTACACCTGTATCAAAGACCTCACATTACACCTGTATCAAAGACCTCACATTACACCTGTATCAAAGACCTCACATTACACCTGTATCAAAGACCTCACATTACACCTGTATCAAAGACCTCACATTACACCTGTATCAAAGACCTCACATTACACCTGTATCAAAGACCTCACATTACACCTGTATCAAAGACCTCACATTACACCTGTATCAAAGACCTCACATTACACCTGTATCAAAGACCTCACATTACACCTGTATCAAAGACCTCACATTACACCTGTATCAAAGACCTCACATTACACCTGTATCAAAGACCTCACATTACACCTGTATCAAAGACCTCACATTACACCTGTGTCCCTCGAGCCAAATTGAAAGTAGCAGAAGCAGCTTTCTTCCATTTGCTCCTTGTAAATGGAGCTCAGCTGAAAGACATCACATTTGCTCTCACATTGAACTCATTCAAGGAGAAACTAAAGACTCTAAACTGTCCTTCCATCAGTTTTTATTAATTCCGGAGTCAGTGAATTCTGCTAAATAAATGAAGCCAAAAATGCTTTTTGTGCAGAGAAACCTGAAACATGTCGGACTGTGCGCTGCTTCTGGAGGCCGCAAACTTTGCTGCAGAGAAACACCGAAAACAAAGACGTAAAGACACAGAGCAAACTCCTTACATCAACCACCCCATAGGTCAGTCCCTGTACACCATACACCAAAGGTTAAAGGTTATTCCATTCATACCCCATAGGTTTTGGGTCATATTGGTCATATGGCAGCCCTACTGTCCACAAATGTCCCCAATCATCAGTGTCTTTAGATTCTGCTGCATCAGTAAGAAACCTCTGGAAGATGAACTGAGGCTGTAGATCCAGGACTGAGGCTGTAGGCCCAGGACTGAGGCTGTAGGCCCAGGACTGAGGCTGTAGACCCAGGACTGAGGCTGTAGATCCAGGACAGAGGCTGTAGACCCAGGACTGAGGCTGTAGGCCCAGGACTGAGGCTGTAGACCCAGGACTGAGGCTGTAGATCCAGGACTGAGGCTGTAGGCCCAGGACTGAGGCTGTAGACCCAGGACTGAGGCTGTAGATCCAGGACAGAGGCTGTAGACCCAGGACTGAGGCTGTAGACCCAGGACTGAGGCTGTAGACCCAGGACTGAGGCTGTAGACCCAGGACTGAGGCTGTAGGCCCAGGACTGATAATAAATATCAAGTCAAATATCAACTAATAAACTATCAAGGATTAATGCACTTCTCTCACATGTGGTGGTTTCAGGTGTCGCTCGGATCCTGAGTCATGAGGCCGGAGTCACTGATGTCTGCGTTTTACAGGTTTGAATAAAATACTTTCAACTCACTCCTCCAGCTCCTCCTGTGTCCCAGAGGAGGAGGAGAGCTCCTCCTGTGTCCCAGAGGAGGAGAGCTTCCGATATTTCCTTGTTGTCTTCAAACCCGGCCCTCTCCAGGCGGGTGTAGGGAGCAGCGTCTCTAACCCGTCCCCCTGTGTGTTGCAGGCTGCACTGCTCCATGACACTGTGGAGGACACAGACACCTCCCTCTCTGAGCTGGAGTCCTGTTTTGGTCCAGTCGTTTCCAGAATCGTGGCTGAAGTCACTGATGATAAAACTCTGCCCAAACACGAGAGGAAGCGCCTTCAGGTGGAGCATGCGCGCCACTGCAGCCACCAGGCCAAACTGGTCAAACTGGCAGACAAGCTGTACAACCTGCGGGACCTGGACAGAAGTACGCCTGTGGGTGAGAGAACTGTGACTCTGTGGGTGAGAGAAGTACGCCTGTGGGTGAGAAAACTGTGACTCTGTGGGTGAAAGAAGTACGCCTGTGGGTGAGAAAACTGTGACTCTGTGGGTGAGAGAACTGTGACTCTGTGGGTGAGAGAAGTACGCCTGTGGGTGAGAAAACTGTGACTCTGTGGGTGAGAGAACTGTGACTCTGTGGGTGAGAGAACTGTGACTCTGTGGGTGAGAGAAGTACGCCTGTGGGTGAGAAAACTGTGACTCTGTGGGTGAGAGAACTGTGACTCTGTGGGTGAGAGAAGTACGCCTGTGGGTGAGAAAACTGTGACTCTGTGGGTGAGAGAACTGTGACTCTGTGGGTGAGAGAAGTACGCCTGTGGGTGAGAAAACTGTGACTCTGTGGGTGAGAGAACTGTGACTCTGTGGGTGAGAGAAGTACGCCTGTGGGTGAGAAAACTGTGACTCTGTGGGTGAGAGAACTGTGACTGTGGGTGAGAGAAGTACGCCTGTGGGTGAGAAAACTGTGACTGTGGGTGAGAGATGAGATCATGCAAAGTCCAGTCAGTAATATACTGTTTAGCCCTAACCCTGTAGTACTGTGTAGTATTTGAAGTACTGCAGTATTTGAAGTACTGTGTGTTCTCAGGCTGGACGGAGCAGCGTGTTCATGAATACTTTGTTTGGGCGAATGAAGTAGTGACCGAGCTCCGAGGGACGAGCCCAGAGCTGGAAACACAACTGCAGCTGATGTTCTCCAGAAGAAACGTGTGAAGAGCTGTCCGTGGTTCTGATCCGGATACATGTGTTCAGTTCAATCACATCTGTCCGTGGTTCTGATCCGGATACATGTGTTCAATTCAATCACATCTGTCCGTGGTTCTGATCCGGATACATGTGTTCAGTTCAATCACATCTGTCCGTGGTTCTGATCCGGATACATGTGTTCAGTTCAATCACATCTGGGAATAAATACTTTTATAAATGATGTGTCTGTGTCCTCTGTTTTCTCCAGAAGGAAGTCATATTTATTTGTATAGCGCCTTTTACAGACCACAGCTTTAGTCCTTCAGGGCGTTTGACTGAATGTTTTTAGTGGTAGGAATTAAGATTAAGATGAAGAAATCCTTTATTGGTCCCACAGTGGATAATGTCAGTGTTGCATCAGCAGGTGCAGAACAGGAGGAGCACACAGCACAGGGTAAAGGAACTATAACTTTGTATTAGAATAAAATACTATCTCTAACTTTAGCATCAAAGAAACAAGTGTACAATCTTTAGGGTAAACCTTCATCACCCCCGTCTCTGTGATAAATCATTTTGTGAAGCATCTTTGAACGTCCAGAAAAGCGCTGTATAAAACGATACTATGTAAAAAATAGATAAAAATATGTTAGAAAAAAAGGTTTAAAAAAAAAAAGAAAGAAATAGGAAAAATAAAAATAGATTACAATGTAAAAAAATAAATAAAACAATTTAGGAAAATCATAGACTGTAAAAGGAAAATGAAAAAAAAATAAAGTGAGGCGGCCCTGTGGCAGTGGGCACGTGTTTCCGAGGAACAGTTTCCTGTGACACAGTACCTTTCGTTCCGAGCTGTTTGGTTGCCGTGCTCTATTTCACGCAGATAACGCTCAGATTCCCGCAGGACCCGCACAGATGGAGGACAAATGGCTCGACAAGTGGCTGGACCCGCTCAACATGAAGCTGCCCGCGATCCAGTCCACTGCGGGGGCGGTGCCGGTGCGCAACGAGAAAGGTGCGAGTGCTCCGGAGCTAACCGGCTAATGCTAACGGAGCTAATGCTAATGAAGCTAATGCTAATGTAAACAGTGATACACCAACCGTTATAGGAGTATTAAGTAGAGCTTCTTACCACGAGTACGTACATAGTTGTAGCAGTAGTAGTAGTAGTAGTTGCAACAGTAGTAGTAGCAGTAGTAGTAGTAGTAGTAGTAGTAGTAGTAGTTGCAACAGTAGTAGTAGCAGTAGTAGTAGTAGTAGCAGTAGTAGTTGCAACAGTAGTAGTAGCAGTAGTAGTAGTAGTAGTAGTAGTAGTAGCAGTAGTAGTAGTAGTTGCAACAGTAGTAGTAGTAGTAGTAGTAGTAGTTGTTTTAGCAGTAGCAGCAGTAGTAGTAATAGAGCTCAGCCATTTATATATAATCATCAAAACAAATTACACATTGAGGGTCTATATGTGGACCTTCAATAGACTGGTGTCACTGGTGTCAGTGCAGTTTATAAACCAAATATTCAGATTTAGCTTAGGAGAAGAACCAATTAATACATTTCGATTTAGCTTTATTTTTTTCCATTTACATCAACTGACGAGTCTCATGGATGAGGGAGGCAAAAGTCACATTATACGTCCTCCCTGACTCTGTTGCTGTGATCAGATGTGAGACTTAGGTACATAGAAGGATTTTCTACTTCCGGGTGGATCATCAAGACGAGTCGTCCTCCCATTTGTCTATCATTCTGGTGATACATGCTCATTAAAAAAAGACCAAAGAGTTTTGTTCAAAAAGTGGAGAGGGAGAGATTTGTTCTCTAGAGCTGTCCTAACTCTTGTGTCCTCTAGAGCTGTCCTAACTCTTGTGTCCTCTAGAGCTGTCCTAACTCTTGTGTCCTCTAGAGCTGTCCTAACTCTTGTGTCCTCTAGAGCTGTCCTAACTCTTGTGTCCTCTAGAGCTGTCCTAACTCTTGTGTCCTCTAGAGCTGTCCTAACTCTTGTGTCCTCTAGAGCTGTCCTAACTCTTGTGTCCTCTAGGGGAGCTGTCTATGGAGAAGGTGAAAGTGAAACGTTACATTTCGGGCAAACGTCCCGACTATGCTCCCATGGAGTCCTCAGACGAAGAAGAAGACTTTCAGTTTGTCCAGAAGAACCGGGAACAAGAGGCCGAGCCCGAAGAGGCTGAGACCGAGGTGTCTGACCCACGGCTGAAACGTCTCATGAACCGGACCAACGAGGACCAAGAGGAGAGGTGAGACCCATAGTCGTGGGCCAACTGACCCACGACTATGAACTGAGGCCGTAGACCCAGGACTGAGGCCGTAGACCCAGGACTGAGGCCGTAGACCCAGGACTGAGGCCGTAGACCCAGGACTGAGGCCGTAGACCCAGGACTGAGAACTCTGAGGTACATGTTCCTCTTCCACAGGTACCAGAGACACAGAGCCATCGTGGAGCCTGAGGTGATGGTCGACAGCAGCGACTCTGAGGAGGAGGTGCAGCAGGTCAGAGCCAGAGTCCGGGAGCGAGAGATGGAGGAGAGCAGTGAAGAAGAGGAGGAGGAAGAGGAAGAGGTGGACGAGGAGGTGAGACTCTACCCATGACTATGTGATCTAGTTATATATCCCAGGGCCAACCCAGGGCTGAGGCTGTAGAACCAGGACTTACACCTCACCAGCAGGGGTCTCTATCTGCAGCCATAATATATATTTTTTGGCCTTGTACCCTCCTGCTTCTGGCGCGGTATGTGGTCCGCGGGATGGACCTACAGACCCACATGTTGAGACCCTCTCTTCAACTCTATGACGTCACACATGTTCTTGTCTCCTGCAGGAGCTGGAGCGCCGGCGCACGGTCATGCGGCAGCGCGCTCAGGAACGGAAGCTGGAGGAGCAGGAAGTGATGGAGGTGGAGGAGGAGAGGAAATCCGACCAATCAGAGTCCGAGTCTGAGTACGAGGAATATACGGACTCTGAGGATGAAGCCGAGCCGCGGTTAAAGCCAGTGTTCATCCGGAAGTGAGTTCTGAAGATACCAGGGATTTTCAACAGTCCAGTTTTATCCGGTTTACAGTCTTTTCTCTGTTGTAGAAAAGACAGAGTGACTGTAGCAGAACGAGAGATGGAGGAGCTGCGTCAGAAAGAGGTCTGTATGAGAGCTCACATGGTCCACTGTCTGGTGTCTCTGGTCTCTCTGGTCTCTCTCTCTGGTCTCTCTCTCTGGTCTCTCTCTCTGGTCTCTCTCTGGTCTCTCTCTGGTCTCTCTCTGGTCTCTCTCTCTGCGTTCTCTCTGGTCTCTCTCTCTGGTCTCTCTCTGGTCTCTCTCTGGTCTCTCTCTCTGCGTTCTCTCTGGTCTCTCTCTCTGGTCTCTCTCTGGTCTCTCTCTGGTCTCTCTCTCTGCGTTCTCTCTGGTCTCTCTCTCTGGTCTCTCTCTGGTCTCTCTCTGGTCTCTCTCTCTGCGTTCTCTCTGGTCTCTCTCTCTGCATTCTCTCTGGTCTCTCTCTGGTCTCTCTGGTGACTCCCTGGTCTCTCTCTCTGCGTTCTCTCTGGTCTCTCTCTGGTCTCTCTCTCTGCGTTCTCTCTGGTCTCTCTCTCTGGTCTCTGGTCTCTCTCTCTCACTCTGGTCTCTGGCTCACATGGTCTCTGTTTGCAGGTGGAGGCAGACCAGCGCCACCAGGCTGAGGAAAGGAGGAGGTACACGTTGAAGATTGTGGAGGAGGAGGCCAAGCGCGAGTTTGAGGAGAACCGCAGGAACGTGGCGGCGCTGGACGCTCTGGACACAGACCCTGAGAACGAGGAAGAGGAGTACGAGTCCTGGAAGCTACGAGAGCTGAAGAGGATCAAGAGGGACCGGGAGACCAGAGAGCAGTGAGTGACGGACCAGGACTGTGTGTAAGACCAGAGAGTACTGGACCAGGACTGTGTGTAAGACCGGAGAGCAGTGAGTGACGGACCAGGACTGTGTGTAAGACCAGAGAGTACTGGACCAGGACTGTGTGTAAGACCGGAGAGCAGTGAGTGACGGACCAGGACTGTGTGTAAGACCAGAGAGTACTGGACCAGGACTGTGTGTAAGACCAGAGAGTACTGGACCAGGACTGTGTGTAAGACCAGAGAGTACTGGACCAGGACTGTGTGTAAGACCAGAGAGTACTGGACCAGGACTGTGAGGGTATCAGACCAGGTTTAAAGGTGTTAGTTCTGGTCCCGGGTCCCTGGTCTTAATCCTGGTCTCTCTTCAGAATGGAGAGGGAGAAGTCTGAGGTGGAGCGGTTCCATAATCTGACCGAGGAGGAGCGTCGAGCCGAGCTCCGGGTCCAGGGGAAAACTGTCACCAACAAAGCTCCGAAAGGAAAGTCCAAGTTTCTGCAGAAGTACTACCACAGAGGAGCCTTCTACATGGTAAGAACACACCACCCCAGTGTCACATCAGCCCAGTGTTTAGACCACATCACCCCTGTCGCTGTGGTAACGGTGTGTTTGTTTCAGGATGAGGAAGATGAAGTTTACAAACGAGACTTTAACGCTCCAACTCTGGAAGATCATTTTGACAAAACTGTTCTGCCGAAGGTCATGCAGGTGAGTGACGTGTCCCTCAGCTCCCTCTGGTCTCTCTCTGCTCACTCAGCTACCTCTGGTCTCTCTCTGCTCACTCAGCTCCCTCTGGTTTCTCTCTGCTCACTCAGCTCCCTCTGGTCTCTCTCTGCTCACTCAGCTCCCTCTGGTCTCTCTCTGCTCACTCAGCTCCCTCTGGTCTCTCTCTGCTCACTCAGCTCCCTCTGGTTTCTCTCTGCTCACTCAGCTCCCTCTGGTCTCTCTCTGCTCACTCAGCTCCCTCTGGTTTCTCTCTGCTCACTCAGCTCCCTCTGGTTTCTCTCTGCTCACTCAGCTCCCTCTGGTCTCTCTCTGCTCACTCAGCTCCCTCTGGTTTCTCTCTGCTCACTCAGCTCCCTCTGGTCTCTCCCAGGTCTCTCCCTGCTCTCCTTCTGCTTTTCCTCTGCTCTCTCTCAGCTCTCCCTCTGGTCTCCCTCTGGTCTCCCTCTGGTCTCCCTCTGGTCTCCCTCAGGTCTCCCTCAGGTCTCCCTCAGGTCTCCCTCAGGTCTCCCTCAGGTCTCCCTCAGGTCTCCCTCTGGTCTCCCTCTGGTCTCCCTCTGGTCTCCCTCTGGTCTCCCTCTGGTCTCCCTCTGGTCTCCCTCAGGTCTCCCTCAGGTCTCCCTCTGGTCTCCCTCTGGTCTCCCTCTGGTCTCCCTCAGGTCTCAGGTCTGGTCTCTCTGTTGCAGGTGAAGAACTTTGGGCGCTCTGGAAGAACCAAGTACACTCATCTTGTGGACCAGGACACCACGTCCTTCACCTCGGCCTGGTCCCAGCAGAGTCTGCAGAACATCAAGTTCCTGAAGCCCAAGACTCAGGGCAAAGACAAGGAGACGTTTGACCGGCCGTCTGTGAGCAAGAGGAAGGTCTGAGGCGGGTCTGAGGCGGGTCTGAGGCGGGTCTGAGGCGGGTCTGAGGCGGGTCTGAGGCGGGTCTGAGGCGGGTCTGAGGCGGGTCTGAGGCGGGTCTGAGGCGGGTCTGAGGCGGGTCTGAGGCGAGACCGAGACTGGGACCTGTTTGAATTTCTGTATATAAACAGCAAAAATGTAAAAAGTTTTATGAAATGTCTTTTCTAGAATTTTCCTTTTGAATAAATGTTCGTTTCTTGTTTATTTTTGTTGTTGTGAGTTTACTTTTCTTTGATGGAACTCTGACTTCCCCATAGCAGAAAAATAGTTAAGCCTCAGCACAGGTACAGGTTGTCACCATGGTAACCCTGGTTCAGAGGGTACACACACACACACACACAGAGCTTATATAGATTAATTTAGTTTTGAAATATGTTTGACAGGTTTTCTATTTACATTGATTTGATTTGTGTGTTTTGATTTTGTCCAGAATGATTAACAGATATTAATCATCGTCTCTGTTGTATTTGGCGTTGTATTTTTTTAATTGTGTAATGTGTTTTATTTATAATTTTTTTAGAAAGTTAGTGTACATACAAAAAGTCATCAAGATTTAAAACGGATATTAAATTAAAATGAGAATAGATAAAAAGCTAATTCCTTTTTGAGGCTTGCGGCCTCAAAAACTATTTTTTATTTATTATTATTTATTTATTTTGACCGAGCACATGGCCCTCTCCGTACGTCACTTCCGTTTTTTCTCGGCGTCACTTCCTGGTCTTTCGGTTCACAAGATGGCGGCTGAAGGCGATGTGGAGCTGGAGCTTGAGGCGGACGAAAACTGCGCTTTATCTGCGAACAAACCCGCAGAGAAACCGCGCAAACATGACAGCGGAGCGGCCGACCTGGAGCGAGTAACCGACTATGCCGAGGAGAAGGAGATCAGGAGCGAGGACCTGCAAACGGTGAGTGAAGCACTGGCCACGCCGGGTACCTCTGGCCTCTCTCCGCTTTCTCCCTGGTGTCTCTCTCTGGTGTCTCTCTCTCCCCCTGGTGTCTCTCACTCTCTGGTGTCTCTTTCTCTGGTCTCTCTCCCTGGTGTCTCTACCTCGCTGGTGTCCCTGTCTCCCTTGTGGCCTCTCTCTCACTGGTCAGTCTCTGGTGTGTCTCTCCACCTAGTGTCCCTCGCTCTCGTCTCTCTCTGGTCACTCTACCTGGTGTCTCTCTCTGGTCACTCTACCTGGTGTCTCTCTACCTGGTGTCTCTCTCTGGTCTCTCTACCTGGTGTCTCTCTCTGGTCTCTCTACCTGGTGTCTCTCTCTGGTCACTCTACCTGGTGTCTCTCTCTGGTCACTCTACCTGGTGTCTCTCTACCTGGTGTCTCTCTCTGGTCTCTCTACCTGGTGTCTCTCTCTGGTGTCTCTCTCTGGTCTCTCTACCTGGTGTCTCTCTCTGGTCTCTCTACCCGGTGTCTCTCTCTGGTCTCTCTACCTGGTGTCTCTCTCTGGTCACTCTACCTGGTGTCTCTCTCTGGTCACTCTACCTGGTGTCTCTCTCTGGTCTCTCTACCCGGTGTCTCTCTCTGGTCTCTCTACCTGGTGTCTCTCTCTGGTCTCTCTACCTGGTGTCTCTCTCTGGTCACTCTACCTGGTGTCTCTCTCTGGTCACTCTACCTGGTGTCTCTCTACCTGGTGTCTCTCTCTGGTCTCTCTACCCGGTGTCTCTCTCTGGTCACTCTACCTGGTGTCTCTCTCTGGTGTCTCTCTCTGGTCTCTCTACCTGGTGTCTCTCTCTGGTCTCTCTACCCGGTGTCTCTCTCTGGTCTCTCTACCTGGTGTCTCTCTCTGGTCACTCTACCTGGTGTCTCTCTCTGGTCACTCTACCTGGTGTCTCTCTCTGGTCACTCTACCTGGTGTCTCTCTCTGGTCACTCTACCTGGTGTCTCTCTCTGGTCACTCTACCTGGTGTCTCTCTCTGGTCACTCTACCTGGTGTCTCTCTCTGGTCACTCTACCTGGTGTCTCTCTCTGGTCACTACCTGGTGTCCCTCGCTCTCGTCTCTCTGGTCTCTCTACCCGGTGTCTCTCTGGTGTCTCTCTCTGGTGTCACTCTACCTGGTGTCTCTCTCTGGTGTCTCTCTCTGGTGTGTCTCTCTCTGGTCTCTCTACCTGGTGTCCTTCGCTCTCGTCTCTCTCTGGTGTCTCTCTCTGGTGTCTCTCTGGTCACTCTCTGGTGTGTCTCTCTCTGGTGTCTCTCTCTGGTCACTCTCTGGTGTGTCTCTCTCTGGTGTCTCTCTCTGGTCACTCTCTGGTGTGTCTCTCTCTGGTCTCGCTACCTGGTGTCCTTCGCTCTCGTCTCTCTCTGGTCACTCTCAGCCACATGTCAGTATTCATTCCTATTGTGCTTTCTGCCCTCTCTGTGGTGAGTGAGTACTTTACGTGTGTCTAACCGTGTCTAACCGTGTCTAACCGTGTCTAACCGTTCCAGGCGATGTCTGTGATCGGAGACAGAAGGTCCAGAGAACAGAAGGCTAAACAAGAACGGTGAGTGGCGGGTGCTTAGCTCTCTCTGTGGAGTCTTACAGTTTAAACCCTGTCAGTGATATAAAAAAAACACTAAATAAAACCTTTTTTCTTTATGCGTCGGTAATTTTGACCTGAGAGTAGCACAAGTGTTAAATGTTTAAGAGGATTTTCTACTTCCGGGTGGATCATCAACACGATTGGTCCTCCCAACTCGCCGTCTCTGATTGGTCTGTTCTGTTGCAGAGAAAAGGAGTTGGCCAAAGTCACGATCAGGAGAGAGGACGTGGAACTGATCGTGAGTTTATAACTGCATGTGATTACTACTGTTTGTTGTTGTTTACATGTGTTTGTTGTAGGGATGTACCAAATCCAGGTTTTTGGGGTTTGGCCGAATACCGAATCCACTGGTTAAGATTCTGCCGAATCCGAACCCGAATACTGAATCCTATTCCATCCTCAGTCCATTGATGTTTCAAACGCAAATGTTTAAACAGCGGCGGTGTTGTGTACCGTTTAGGGTCCTTACCACCACGAGACAAATGGGCATTGCAAATTGGACATGTAGCTCGACCAGAATCTATTATTATAACATTTATAATAATCCCGTTTATCATTAAACACAAATACATTCAGTTCACAGCAGTGTAAAACTTCAGAGATAAAGTACATATATTACTGTGCATGTCATGTAGAAATAAGAGCTAAAGCACCATGCATGCATAAATAGCTTCCACTGGTTCAGGTCAAAACATTACATATATGGACATTTGAGAAATGTGCCAAACTCGTCAGAGACAAGTTGAGAGAAGCTAATGCTAAGAGGCTAGTTGCCTAAACATGGACTCACCAACTCTGCTTCATACGCAGCTCAGATGACAAGTACCTGGCACTGGGAATCGGCTCCATAAAGTTGGTGAATAGGAAGTTAGTTTATGATTCATCAGAACCGCATTACAGGTGAAAACAAGAATCATAACATCCCCTCGCACCGGCATATGACTAGAGCCGATTGGTCCGCTGGGATCACATGACCAGGAAGAGACCTCAGCGCACCCGAAGAGGAACAGAGACCAAGAGGATATAAACCTCCGCTAAAGTGCATGTTTATTTACACTTCCAAACGAATCTGCCACAGCGCGCATAGTGTAAGTGCAAGGTTTGGGTTCGGTGGGGAAAAATTATAAGGTTCGGCCAGAAACCAAACCCCGTCAAAAAAACCAATATTCGGCCGAACCCGAATCCTGGATTCGGTACATCCCTAGTTTGTTGTTTACACATGTATGTTGTTGACAGATGTTGTTGTGTAAACAACAACAAACATGTGTAAACATGTTTGTTATTTAGACCTGTGTTGTTGTTTACATGTTTTTGTTTACACATATGTGAGGTTGACAGATGTTGTTGTTTACACCTGTGTTGTTTGTGGTTCACAGATGTTGTTGTTTACACCTGTGTGTTGTTTGTTGTTGACAGATGCAGGAGCTGGAGATCTCTCGTCTGGTCGCAGAGCGCTCTCTCAGAGAACATTTGGGAAACGTGGTGGAGGCTTTAGTCGCTCTCACAAACTGAACATTCACAAGACTCACTTTTATTAATAAAACATTTACAATTCACTCTTTTTCAAACGTCTCCTGTGTGTTTTTCTTTGCGTGTGACTGTATGAGTGTGTGTGACTGAGTGTGTGTCTCTGTGTTTATGTCTGTGTGTGTGTATAAGTGTGTGTGTGTGTCCTGTTGGACTCGTCACAACCGTCAATTTGAAACACGTGTAAACAGTTACAACTAGTGGCGAAGTGAGGGACTGCAGCGGGTCATTCTGAAGCTCAAGTGTTTGGGATTAAGGTTTAAAAAAATAAAATCATTCTTCCTCATTGTTATGATTTTGGGAGTTCTTAGATGCACTGTTGTCATGGATACAATTATAAAAACTTAAATGTATTTATTTTGACATTAGTCCCACATCTTTGTCTGCTACTGATACGATTTGTTTGAGTTTTTACATTTGCACGGCTATACTCGCTGGTGAAAGCCAGATCCTGTCAGACCCGATATTATTATAGATCCTTGGTCAGACCTTTGAAGCTGAGCAGGGCAGGGCCTGGTTAGTGCTGTGATGGGAGACCTCTGGGAACAGCAGGTGCCACAGTGGGGCGGCTGCGGCTGTAAAGTGCCAAACTGTGGTTGTGTCCTTAGGCAAGACACTTCCCCCACATTAGAATGAGTCTGGTGTGTGTGGGAGGGGCCGATGGCACAGACTGGTTGTAATGCTTCGGTCAGTGTGCCCCAGGGCAGCTGTGGCTACAGTAGTTTATCACCACCGTGTTTGGAGTGAATGAATAATGATGTGAAGAGACTTTGAGCGTCCAGAGCGCTGTAATACATTATTATTAATAGTATTGTTATTATTATTATTATACATATATAAATACTTATAAATACTAACTTATACATTGGTAGTAGCTGAATAAAGACGGGTCTAGAGGCTGCACTAGTTTTTATGGTTCATTTCCTTCAGACCTGGACTGTTCTGCTGTCGCTCCACATGCTGCAGGTGTCGGGTTCAGTTATTTTAGAGCCGGACTCTGACTCCAGACTTAGACCTGGTCTCAATCCTTGTCTCTACTCAGCCTGGATTAATGCGTCCTCACTAACCTGGATTTTAACTGGATTTAAACTGGATTTAAACTTCACTAAAGTGGATCCAGACCTGGGACTACACAGAGCTCAGTCCAGAGTACAGCCGGGAAACTGGACTAAACCTAGACCGAAACTGGTCTGAACCAGGGTTGAGCCGGGACTGACGCGGGTCTAAAGCAGAATCCTGGACTCTGAATCTTGAATCTCCTGAAGGTAAAACTCATGATGAAGAAATGTGTGAAAAACTACAAACATGGCTGAAGTCATGATCAGGAAGAGACAGCGGCCAATCAGGAGCAGCCGTACAAATATGCATGTGACATCATTGTTCCAATTAAATATGAGGTCAGGTTAGGGTTCGGTAGGTTCACCAGACCAGGACCAGGGGCCGGAACCAGAACCTGGACTCCGTAGACAGAACAGTGTCTGCAAGGTTCAAGTATGTTTTCCGTTTGTGCAGAGACAGAGTCCATACGTTTCTCTTCGTCCAAGTTGAAAATTAGTAGATTAAAAGGCTCAGTCCTGGGTCTACAGTCTCAGTCCTGGGTCTACAGCCTCAGTCCTGGGTCTACAGTCTCAGTCCTGGGTCTACAGCCTCAGTCCTGGGTCTACAGCCTCAGTCCTGGGTCTACAACCTCAGTCCTGGGTCTACAGCCTCAGTCCTGGGTCTACAGTCTCAGTCCTGGGTCTACAGCCTCAGTCCTGGGTCTACAGCCTCAGTCCTGGGTCTACAACCTCAGTCCTGGGTCTACAGCCTCAGTCCTGGGTCTACAGTCTCAGTCCTGGGTCTACAGCCTCAGTCCTGGGTCTACAGTCTCAGTCCTGGGTCTACAGCCTCAGTCCTGGGTCTACAGTCTCAGTCCTGGGTCTACAGCCTCAGTCCTGGGTCTACAGTCTCAGTCCTGGGTCTACAGTCTCAGTCCTGGGTCTACAGCCTCAGTCCTGGGTCTACAGCCTCAGTCCTGGGTCTACAGCCTCAGTCCTGGGTCTACAGCCTCAGTCCTGGGTCTACAGTCTCAGTCCTGGGTCTACAGCCTCAGTCCTGGGTCTACAATAATAATAATAACTAGAAACTTGCAATGGCTGAAGCCATTGCGATTGACTGCGGAACAGATCTAATGTGGAAATCTGCTAAAAAAAATCCTTGAAATCCTTTAAAAGGCCTTGAAACTGTTAAAATACTTGATAGATATTTGAAACTCCTGAAGTCCTTGAAATTGTTGAAACCTTTAAACTCCTGAAATCCTTGAAACTGTTGAAACATTGAAACTCCTGAAATCCTTGAAACTTTTTTAAACCTGGAAACTGTTGAAAGTGTGGAAACTCCTGAAATCCTTGAACCTCCTGATATCCTTGAAACTGGTTAAATTCTTAAACAGTTGAAATCCTTGAAACTACTGAATGTATTGAAAGTGTCCTTGAAACTGAAAAATCCCCTCACCGCTGAAACAATTTGGTTCCTGTAACTAAGGAAACCTGGTCTGTGGTCATTATCTGGTGGTGGTCTGAGTCTTCGTTTGGGTCTTGGTCTGGTGGTATAATGCAACCTATTAGGTTGCATTATACTGGTTTACATGGAAAAATCCGTAATAGGTTGCATTATACTGGTTTACATGGAAAAATCCCTATTAAGTTGCATTATACTGGTTTACATGGAAAAATCTCTATTAAGTTGCATTATACTGGTTTACATGGAAAAATCCCTATTAGGTTGCATTATACTGGTTTACATGTACAAATCCCTATTAAGTTGCTTTATACTGGTTTACATGTAAAAACCCCTATTAGGTTACATTATAGTGGTTTACATGTAAAAATCCTTATTAAGTTGCATTATACTGGTTTACATGTAAAAACCCCTATTAAGTTCCATTATACTGGTTTACATGTAAAAACCCCTATAAAGTTCCATTATACTGGTTTACATGTAAAAACCCCATTAAGTTGCATTATACTGGTTTACATGGAAAAATCCCTATTAAGTTGCATTATACTGGTTTACATGGAAAAATCCCTATTAAGTTGCATAATACTGGTTTACATGGAAAAATCCCCATTAAGTTGCATTATACTGGTTTACATGGAAAAATCCCCATTAAGTTGCATTATACTGGTTTACATGGAAAAATCCCTATTAAGTTGCATTGTACTGGTTTACATGGAAAAAACCCTATTAAGTTGCATTATACTGGTTTACATGGAAAAAACCCTATTAAGTTGCATTATACTGGTTTACATGTAAAAACCCCTATTAAGTTGCATTATACTGGTTTACATGGAAAAATCCCCATTAAGTTGCATTATACTGGTTTACATGGAAAAATCCCTATTAAGTTGCATTATACTGGTTTACATGGAAAAATCCCTATTAAGTTGCATAATACTGGTTTACATGGAAAAATCCCCATTAAGTTGCATTATACTGGTTTACATGGAAAAATCCCCATTAAGTTGCATTATACTGGTTTACATGGAAAAATCCCTATTAAGTTGCATTGTACTGGTTTACATGGAAAAAACCCTATTAAGTTGCATTATACTGGTTTACATGGAAAAAACCCTATTAAGTTGCATTATACTGGTTTACATGTAAAAACCCCTATTAAGTTGCATTATACTGGTTTACATGGAAAAATCCCCATTAAGTTGCATTATACTGGTTTACATGGAAAAATCCCTATTAAGTTGCATTATACTGGTTTACATGGAAAAATCCCTATTAAGTTGCATAATACTGGTTTTTACATGGAAAAATCCCCATTAAGTTGCATTATACTGGTTTACATGGAAAAATCCCCATTAAGTTGCATTATACTGGTTTACATGGAAAAATCCCTATTAAGTTGCATTGTACTGGTTTACATGGAAAAATCCCTATTAAGTTGCATTATACTGGTTTACATGGAAAAAACCCTATTAATTTGCATTATACTGGTTTACATGTAAAAACCCCTATTAAGTTGCATTATACTGGTTTACATGGAAAAATCCCCATTAAGTTGCATTATACTGGTTTACATGAAAAAAAACCCTATTAAGTTGCATTATACTGGTTTACATGGAAAAAACCCTATTAAGTTGCATTATACTGGTTTACATGTAAAAACCCCTATTAAGTTGCATTATACTGGTTTACATGGAAAAATCCCCATTAAGTTGCATTATACTGGTTTACATGAAAAAAAACCCTATTAAGTTGCATTATACTGGTTTACATGAAAAAAAACCCTATTAAGTTGCATTATACTGGTTTACATGAAAAAAAACCCTATTAAGTTGCATTATACTGGTTTACATGGAAAAATCCCTATTAAGTTGCATTATACTGGTTTACATGGAAAAATCCCTATTAGGTTGCATAATTACACTGAAGTCCTTGAAACTGCTGAAGTCCTTGAAACTGCTGAAGTCCTTGAAACTGCTGAAGTCCTTGAAACTGTTGAAGTCCTTGAAACTCTTGAAATCTTGAAACTGCTGAAATCCTTGAAACTGTTGAATCCTTGAAACTGTTGAATCATTGAAACTGTAGAAATGTCTGAAAGAGCTGAAGTCCTATTAAAATGCATGGGCCTATTAAAATGCATTGCAGAATTCTCAATGCAGATTTTTGTCCGATTGCGGAAAAACCGGAAATCGCTGAAGTCCCAAAAGTAATAGCAATAATCTCCCAAACATGTGGAACGTTTTGATGTATAACTTGTGGAAATTGTTGAAAATGTGAAAGCTGTGAAACGTGTCAAAAAAAATGACGGAATAAAGAAATACAAAACCAATGGTTGACTGCGGAAGGTTCCGCAGTCAATCAATAATACCTTTAATTTGTAATACACTTTACATACAAATCTCAAAGTGCTACAGAGCAACAACAATAAAAGCACACATCATTAAAGTTGAAACAATGTTAAAACAATGTTAAGAAGGGAACAGAAAAGT